GGGGGGGGGGGGAGGCACCCGGTTCGACAGGGATTTGAACCCAAGGACTCTTGCAAACCGTGCGACTGCCCTTGCCAACTAGGCTACCAAGCCCGGGCCCACCCCGACCAGCCACTAAAATATTGACCATGGAAGTACACTGAATTATAAGGAAGTCAATTTACAACTCACTCTGCACTCCTTGTCGACGCTAAGACTCTCCGAGCTGCCCCTCTTTCTCTTCCCAGAATAGGGGCTGGGGGGATCGGACTGATCGGACGCCCCCCTCTCCACCAGGGCTTTGAGCAGGTTTATGATGGATTGCTGTTGTCTGTTGTTTTCCTCCATAAGCTGTACAAGTCTTTTGCCAGTGTCTCCTTTGAACACGACGACATAATCACTGGAGTCGCTAATATCATCTAAAATCGTGTTATTTATACGACTTCCAGTGTGATTAGACGTTGACTCTCTGTCCATGGTGGTTATTGAAGCTTACCTATCAAGACCGATCTACATGTACTGCGGCGTGATTGCCCTGTACGTAGTAGCTTTGTTCAATATAAGTGGCCTATTTCATTTATTTCATTGACCAATCGCTGGCTGTCAATCTTAGGCAACTCTAAGCCAATCGGCGCACGGTGTTGTTTTTTTTTTCGGGTTTTCACACCCCCATCGTGCTCGAAATCCGCGTTGACAACGAGAAAAGGGGACTATGTCTAGTAAAAATGTTTATAAATGTGTTAATGACTTCGCCAGTGTCAGGGGATTGCTCCCCTGTATTACTCATACATGCACGATGAAATTAATCTTTTACTTTCCTTTTCTCTTTCTTTTTAAGACAATATATAGGCTAGAGGCCTAGACAAATGCGCAATCTGTTTTCAACAGTCAATAAAAGGACTTGAGTCATGCATATCGATGCATCAAACATTTGACCGCAAAAACTACAAAATAGACAAGGGAAAGCCTACTCTGTCGCACCTTTATATAACACATTCAACGCAAAGCAGTACCCATTAGAGTGCAAAGAATGCATGGAGATGACACAGATTTTATTTTACCTCATACGGTGCTGAAAATCAGAAAAGCCATTCATGCTGAAATTATGTTAAGTACAACGGAAATTACTCAGCTACCATCTGCAGCCGTACGTAGTGTGGTGTATATATATATATATTTCAGCGGATTCACACCACCCGTATTGCTGGTATAGAAAATACGTCCCGCGGAAATTGTTTAGGAAATCTCTCTCTTGCCACCCTGGGTTTTAGATTCCTCTCAAAACTCACGTTTCTAACTTTTATGTATTTGTATATACTTCCATTTGTATATATATATATATATATATATATATATATATATATATATATATATATATGTGGTTTTAATGCCCATCAAAGCCTCCATTACCCTGATGAAATCTGACTGTCAGCAGGCCAAAGACTGGCTGGTAAATCTCAGCTGATTTTCGAAAGCTTTATTTTGTTTACTTTATTTGTTTACTGTGACAGCAGCACGTGCGGCGGCAGGCATGCGCACGGATTTACTGTGAATCAACCCCTTCCAAATAAATAAACAAACAAATACATAAAATACTTGCGGACTCGAAACGTAGTTTGAGTACTACACAAAGCACAACTCTAAGAGGGCATATCAGATGCAGAAACTTTTTATTAAACTATTTATTTAGTTTGAATATTTTTGTAAAATATGTAAAGCATTTGTATACCATTAGTTGGGGTCTGCTAGCGCCCCCTGGAGGCACACTGATAAGTGACTGCGGAGAGGTGAGTTTTTATGGACCTCTTAAATGCAGGGTGCGATTTCTCACTTTCCGCCACATTTCCGCTCTGGCGCAGAGGGGTTTCGTTTTATGTCATTTTATCGTTATCGGTTACAGTTCTGCTTAATGTCATTAAGGCCTTTATTGATGCCTGGGAATTCCAAACGGGCTATTCACCTAAAATAGAAAACACTACCCTTTAAGAACATATTGGATAAGTATACTGACGATTAGAAGAAGGTGTATATTAAGTATCACATGGAGGACCAAGCCTGAGTTTCAGGTAATACTGGACACTAACCTCTGGTAGCGGCAGCTGAGAACAGATATTGCAAGTTTTTTCAACATAAGGCTCACTCAAGGAGTTATAACAGATATAACTCCTTGGCTCACTAAACATCACGTAAGCTCCCTGCAATCAGATTGGCTGCAACAGCCGTGCGTAAAGTTTTCAAGCGCAGCTTCTGTCGTTTTGTATTTTGGGTGTTTCAAAAGATGTAAATCGCCTTTTTCAAATTTGTAACTATTCTGAAAATTTAACTGCTGACGGGACAACTAAAAGGCTCTTATCAATGCTTTTCTGCCGTAACTATTTAAAAATGTTTTGCAGCAGATTTAAAGGTTAATTTTTGTTATTCCTCACTGAACTTAGGAATATTGTTTTACATAGGTAAGATGAATTGAAGTATACATGCGTGTATTTACCTATTCATTGTCTGAGAGACAGGACCCAGTCAATACAGTTACCATGTCGACATGTCGCCACCTCGTCGCACTGACAGTGACAAGAAACGAAGACCGTCCAAGGATTCGCCGGCGAACTCGGAGCCACAAAGTCGTACAAGGCCGTGGTCACCCCGCTGTTGCACACGTCATTGTAGGTGGCATTTATAGAGGGCGTCACAGGGCAGGGGGCACTGGGCGCCGCGCAGCTGCACGCCTTCAAGGTACCGTCTCGTTGAAGCACAACGAGAGGGCGACCATCTTTCGTGAGGTTGCCAATCTTGCACATCGATTCCACCGAGGTCGGGTCGTCTATGGCAGTACCATCTTGTCCATCTTGCGTGCCGGGTGCGGGTAAAGTAGCTACGAGCAAGAGGCCTGCACATGCCGTGGTCACGATCAAGTTGACGGAGGGCAGCATCTTCCTTTAGTCGTCTGTTGTGTGCGTGTTCGTTTACCGTGACAAGTTAGACTTCTATGGGATATCTTGCTTATTTGCTCATAATATATACCAAAACTACTGCGTATATATATATATATATATATATATATATATATATATATATATATATATATGTAAATGCACAAGTTACGTATAAGCATTTAAGTGAATGACATAAACTTAAATTGCTGCTGTATATGGAACCAAATTAATATATTGATCGAAAATTTGACAACCAATAAATGTGACTATTAAAATTCGCTAAACGGGCCACCACTTCAGAATATAAAATTACTTTCCTCCGTTCCGGCCACCCAGAAACACTTCATAAAGCATTCTCCTCGTCAACGGGGTTACTGATCAAATTAAAACATCGATATATTATTTGTAAAAAATAAATAAAAAAGGAAAAATACATCACTAAACTTTGCGATTAGTAACCCAATTAATTCCAGCATCTAAATTTTTATTGCAATGATAATTTTAAGTTGGAGTTTAGGCTGGAAACATGTATATCAAACCTTATTTTTGATACAAAAAGTGTTTTGTTTAAATTAATTATTTGTAAATTGAGATTTTAACAACAACAACAAAAAAGTAATAATGATAATATTTTTTAATGTTAAGGTTAAAGAATAGCACAGCGACCGTCGGGTTTACAATCAAGGACACACACACACACACAGTCCGCTCCCCCTTTTCAGGATATTTCCGTTCTACCATTGCTAAATGAACAATTTGTTAATTTCTCATCCGGCCCATCCTGCTGTCCACGATGCAATAGGTCTAAAAATTTTAATTTCTATCATTTATCATCATCTGAAGACCAATTATATTTTCAACAGCCTGTTCCATTACAATTTCACGTAAAGCGTAATTGAAAGATTGCTTTAGTATAGTAAATGTATTATACTAATAGGAAATTCTTTTAAGGACCTTGGGCAGAAACTTGAGGGGGGGGGGTTAGAATGAACGAATTATGTTAAAAGGTACCAGAAACGTTGCCTCAAAGGGGCCGTTTTCTGAAAAATAGTGGGCCTATGACGGGTGACACTTCGATACAAAAAGAGGAGACTGTATTTGTACTCATACGATTAACTGTCTCTACACAAACTTGTGTGACTGTATACGTGCGTATGTATGGTTCAAATCTGTAAAAATAAATATGCTTAAATAACTGACAAAAACCCTAGAGCACATTATATATATATATATATAGATATAAAGAAACAAACAGATAAATAAATATTAATAAAGTGAATACATTAAATAATAAAGAAAAATGACACACTTCTTTGAAATTATCCACGAGTCCACACCCAAATTTTACTGAGACTTGTAAAAACCACAATATATATATACCTAAAACTAAATTTTAACTCAATATGAATTTAATAGTAACAATGACAGTTGTATAAAGTAAAGTAAATGAAACTTACAATCTTATGTCCTCTTTTGTATGACAAAATTCTAGCTTCTTAGGTGTCTGCATAAAAATCAACTGCTTGCTTCTAAGGTGTCTGTGTAAATGAACTGCTCACTCTAGGTGGCATTGTCTATTATTCAATAGGGTTGTGTGGACTATACCAGTGTATGAAATGGCCGCCTGCCCGCCAGCCCGAGGCTGGTAACTTTCAGGCCGGGCAGGTAAGATTTGCAAATTACCCGCCCGACGGGCTGGCTAATTTACAGCCTATTTTCACCTTTTATTTTGTCTATGTTCACAAGCGATTTCAGCAAAATAAACTCACTGTTTTCACCCACTTTCATAGAAGCAAAGAACTAACCATAGCTTGCAATAGAACGCTCATATCGAAATGTAACCAACAGTCTCCCTCTCAGTGGCCTCGTTTTTCGAAGTTCCGTCTGTGTGATATGAAGTTGAAAGACAATTTGAAACGAGGCACATTTTTCTTAACCAGCTTCAGTGACACAGCAGATAACGTTACGTCATTGTTTTGTGTAGAGGAGATACCGCGAGTACCAATTTGTAGGTTGAGAGTAATAAAAATGTGAAAGTATAAAAAGTTATGATATTGATTAAATAGACTTATAGGTACATGAAGTGCTTATAATCAACAGTAATAAAGGCATGCAACGGAGGCAAATTAAAAGAGAATTTTACAAAAATTTGAATCCCAAAATTATGAGTGAACGTACGAGTTTACGCCGTGCGTCAGATGTAGTTCTTTTCCCACATGCTTTCATCTTGGGCTGTCAAAAATGAAAAAAATTCTATCAAGTCCGATAGAGAAGTTCACAAAAGAAAAACAATTGAGGAAAGAAATAAAAATAACAAAGATTACGACAGAACCAAACGAAAGAGAACAAATTGGGACCCATGGAAATTAAGGTGACTTCAATTTGCAATTAGTCGAACGGCAACATTTTTTGTAAAACCGTAACTCGAAAGTATCACGCATTGCGACCGAGCGCAAGCATCTCGATCCAATAACTCGCCCATACTCGCCCCATATAATATATTGTAGCCTCTATGTGATATATATATATAGCTATTCTCAATAAGCAATGCTTTCGAGATACGGGGCCCTGTAGGACTGTCTATGGGCGATTAGCGTGCAGGACCGTTCCCGACCGCTTTTTAAAGCTTAAAAGCGATATTCAAAGGGGCCCTCATGCTGAATTCTTTCTTCTTTATTGTCAGCACAGAGATCAATTTATTTGACAACAATATATATATTTGGTCATACTTGTTGCTATACAGAAAAGCAAAAATTATGATCAAATGATATCACGAAATTGGAATAATAGTTATAAATAAATTATTGAAGAAGAAATGAGACAGCCTGCAAGGTGAACATAAACTGAATTGACTACCCCCGCCCTCCCCCGCCCGCTAAAGGGCCCTGAAAATTTTTGGTATTTTAGATGGTGAATGGTGCCATTTGGTATGGTTTAGAACTATGATTCAACTAGTGAAAGTCTTATTTTTTTGCAGAAATTAAAAGGGAGGCGTCAGGACCCCCCTGACCCCCCTCTAAATCCAACACTGACAAGGTATCATTCAGTAGAAATTCCAACCAATTTCTAAATTTCCATGCATAAGGCATGATATTGCCCTTTCATTTCCAAATTACTCTCCCAAGAGTGCATTCTAGACCCCCTCAGCATACCTCTCTTAACTGTCGGGGTTATCATAACTAGGGCAGGTAACTACATGGCCGGGCTGGTAACTTTTCAGAGTTACCTGCCCGGCGGTCTGGCTAGTAATTTCCTTGAATTTCATACACTGACTATACTAAACTGAAGGGATGGTAGGTTATGTCCTTTACAGGGCCTTTATACGTGAAACTAGGCCTTGGTTTCTTTAAAGGTCCGGTGAGACAGGAACTGTCAAGGAATGGAAGTGCGAGGTTCCACATGCACAGGTCAGGGTTAGTCGGTCGTATTGGGGCTAATACTTATTATATGGGATGAATGTCACCTGTACAAACTGTATTACGGTTCCTAGCGGAATACAAATCGTGCCATAGCGGGCTCGAATTTTGATTCAGAATTGATCTTTTCCAAGCCAAACCGGAGGTTCCTTCGATTCGAATTCACAGCCACCGCCATTTAATTCATTGTCATTTCTCTATGAACAAAATTAAGAATATGTATATGTTTATTAAATATAAATAAACAGTAAATAAACGTTAACTAATCATTTTCTCATAGTCTGATACGTATGGAATTATTTTCTAAAAAGATTGTCTTTTAAAGACATTAGACACAAGTGCCAGTTGGTAGTGAGTAGGCATCATTTTCTATTTGCTTGGTATATATCAATTGAAGGGTTAGGCATAGTAATTCCTTTTTTAATTGTTCATCTACGTCACTGAAAGATTATTAGTGTATATATCACTTGTACGTAATTTCAACAATGAGCCATATTCTGACATAACTCCTTGATTTGATGAAACGTATTAAAATACTGGTATTAGAGGGCGGGGTACGTCTAAATTTCAGTGGCTCATACCAATACATTAAGAGCCGTTAAAACAAAGAAACAAATCCAGAAGCAATGATTAGCACTTTCAGAAATTGAACCACTTGTAGGACGAACAGCCGGACCCCAAACGCCATTCTGTAATGCTGCATTTAGGGCTGGATCTGGGTCGGGGCATATTGTAGGTGGTGCCATCTGCCGGATAGTTTCTAGTCTGTCCAACAGGAGGCGCACTACATCCGGGTACTTATCTGACACGTCATATTGCTCATACGGGTCTTTAGTAATGTTGTACAGCCACACGTTCTTGCTAAAGGACACGTTCTGGATGCTGGGGTCGATTCCAATGATTTCAAGTTCCACTGGTTCTCCATCAATATACTGTATGACGAAAGCTATAGGAAAACATATATAGGGCATATATACTGTATATTAAAAAAGAAACGGTTTATACAAAATGTCTATCAGTGTAGGCCTACATTCCCAATGCTAAGGCCTATTCTTACTCGTTTTTTTTTTCCTTTTTTTTTTTTGTATTTCGTATACCTGTAATATGGAACGTTATACGTAAACAACAAAAAAAAAATCAAAGGCTGTATTCCAAGAGCTTTTAGATCGATCTATCCCCGCGGGGAGACTCACTAGATTACTGTCAGATAATCCGGCTTAAATGTCCGTCCCGCCTACTACAAGCTGTAAGGGGGTAATTAACTTTCGTGTCCGCTCGGCTGACAGCTATTTAGCGTGAACCCCCAGGGAGTTAGGTCGATCTAAGATAGATCGATCTTATCTCTGGAAATGGGGTCAAAGAGACATTATAAGTGCCCCCCACACACATGCAGTTACAGGAGTAGTACCATTACATATATACAAACATGCAAATTTAGGTGGAGGACATGAAAAATTAAGGAATGGCAAACGTCGTATCATAATCGTAGGATATCTCTTTTTATGGTTTCTTTTATTTATTTATTTATTTATTTATTTATACCTGGAGACCCCGTGATGATTTTCCAATCTCCACGTCTTAGAGACGCCCTCTGCGAGGTGTCAAAGGTGTCGTTGTAAAGCGGGCGTCCTCGAGGGGGGTACCACGACGGACAAGTTATCAGCTCATGGATGACCTCGTATCTTTGACCTGTTTTTCTGGTACTGAAAGTGGTGGTCGAATTTTAATTTAAAAAGTCAAAATGGTTGTATTTTTGTGACTAATGAGCTGTTTATCCAAAGTAATTCGCGTAGAGAAATTAAATGTGCGTGCATTGGATTCTGGTTTGAAGTTGGAGAAAAGTAAGCTATTTTAAGATCAATCGCATGTGCTAGGTACACTTTCATTAAAAAAAGATTGGTGATGCATACTTTAATAAGAAAAAAAATGAAGTCGAAATCACGTAATGATGGTAATGGTAATGATGACTACAAAGTACAATTACAAATATCACGTAAGAAATTCGTTTCAAGGCACCTCAAAGTATTCCAAACGTCAAAACCATCTAATCCAAGATTTCTAGCATCTACTCCCGCTAAACCGAGCAATGTCGGACACCAGTCTGTGATGGTAATGAGGTCACGAACGGTTCTTCCCGGTCTCTGTAGTAGTTTACTCCATACAAAAGCTGGCACTTTTATCCCACCTTCCCAGAGAGATCCCTTGATGCCCCTGTAGGGGGCGTTGTCACCGCCCTGTTTTGGGGCACCGCCATTGTCTGAAATATATCGCAAAACTTTTACGACATCAGTGGTGAATTGTTTACCATATAAGTTCACTCAAAGAGTAAATGACATTTTCCCTGGATTTATACCGAAAAGAACCAATCCATACACTTTGAATAAGTATAAAATCCTATTTTGTGTGGCTTTAATCATTCAGTTCGTAGTATTTTACAGAAATTAAGTTTTATTTAATCTATTACATCTCCCGCATGTCACAATGCCAGCTGTTGCGCTGTTGAAAAGCAACAAACGCCACCTACCGGATGAAAATACAATCAAGGAGTTCTCAAGCATATCCCGCTGTATCAAACTCTCCACAATATCGGATACTGCCTTGTCCAAAGCGGACACCATACCTAGAAAAAAAAACATTGCAATACATCAGGCAGTTTGTCCAGGATGATACAATAGAGAAGAGGCTTATGAAAAGCACGTACGATGAGACTGACAAAGAAAGGAAAAATGTTCACACAATGATCACACGCAACTACCTGCGAGTATAAACGAGAGGCACATGCTCATAAAAATGCGCAGATCAGACATTTAACGTACCTAAATACGTTTTTCTCACGCCGCTCGGATCTAACCCATCATATAGGCTTTCAAATCTTTTTGGGACTTGAACCGGTTCGTGAACGAGTTGGAATGGCATGTACAAAAACAAAGGCTGCAAAAGTGGATGAAATACCTTTCATGGCACAACAAAACGTTTGTAAAATAACATTAAAAATAACGTTAAATTTGAAAACTAAACTTTGTTATGTATGATATGACAACTCTCCACTGCAGCGATCCCCTGTACTTACCTGATTGGTATTGTGATGGCGTATGATATCTGTTGCCACGCGAGAGTATATCTCTGTTGCATACACGCCGTATTTGGACCGATCTGGCACCGTCCCATTCCAAAGGTCAAGGCCGCAGACACCAGGAAATACCGAGAAACAACTTCTGTGGGAATAGAAGTCAGTGCCTCCGCCGTATATTCCTAAATAGGATATAATCATGAAATCTTAGGCAGCATTAACGACCAATGTTGGTCCGCGGACTAACAGATCCTCGGATCAAATATGGCCGACCCATTTGAAAGCTTGTCGCGTAATCCCCACAGGGAATGTATTCAGTGGCTATTAGGGGATTATGGGAAACCCTTTCGAATGCGGATCATATTGTTCTGAATGCGTCTTTAGAGCTCATGATCAGTTCCGTTGGGAGCCAACCTCGCGTTCCAAACCACCCTATATAAGATTATGCGCATGCCTAGCAGGCATTTATGAAAATTTGACAGCGAAAACGCAGAAGCTGGTCCAGGCCTGAATAAATCTATAATGGAGGGAGGACACTTTGTCTTACAGCTACCTGTTTTTCAACACCGGTATAAAGAAACTGGTTAAATAATCAACCAGCAGAAATCTATATTATGCANTGCACAGACCGTGATCATAAGACATACCGAAAATAGAAAATAGAATTTAGAAAATAGACATTGCATGTGAACGAAGCCTTAATGTAGCATCTTCTGTTTCAGAGATAACTTCTAAACTGTAGCATTCCATTGCCGTTTAAAGAAGGAACTCGAAACGGCAAAGGTTGTCGTTTAGAGGTTTGTTTGGAGTTATCTCTAAAACTCAGGCTAGGGTGGCAGTTAGTGGTATGTATACAGTATATATAGAGCCTATAACGATACTGTACATGTATCACACCCTGAAAAAGGCTTCTTACAAGATAAAAAATACTGAAATAGAAATAATTAACACTACACTTAGTTAGGGTCCTCTTAAAAGAAACCTCTGACGTAACTCACCATAGAAGCTGTCAAATCCTCTATACGTTGGGGTATGTTTGTACGTGTAGTGCCCTAAATGCCACTTCCCGACGATGTGGGTGGCGTATCCCCTCTCTTTCAGTCTCTGCGGGAGTAGCTTTTCCGTCAAAGGCATCCCCACGGGATTGCCATGCGTGAAGACAGCCGACAGACCGGTAGTAGCCTAGAAGCCGTAGATACAATTAAAACATACATAGTCAGAATGTTTTCATTTATGATAGATCCTGAAATTTGATTTACCTGTTGACTGTTTCGTCTGTTCACTCTGACAGACTTGGTCACAACTGAATTCTCAAACCCACCCGGGGGGAGGGGGGCGAGAGGGACTAACAAGTCATCATCAAGACTGAGGTAATTACCTGTTCACCTTCACCTGAACAGGTAATTCAGTTGTGACCAAGTCTGTCAGAGTGAACCGACGAAACAGTCAACAGGTAAATCAAATTTCAGTATCTATCATAAATGAAAACTTTCTGACTATCAAATCTAAGATCCAATGAAACTATTTTCACAATTAAAACTTACATGTATAGATACTAGTATTAGTTTGCTAACTACTTAACTAATAAACTGACTAACCAAATGACTCAATAAACAGATAAGGAACTAACTGCAAAGGAATTAATGGATAAATACGGAAAGATGTGCAAAGAGACGGATACATCACTAATTGTAATATATGAATTATTATTCAAATGGGTCAGACAATTAAACGGAGTACATTGACTGCGCCTTGGTGAGAATCCCCGCTGAGAAAGATCGACCCTGCTAGTGCTGCACCTTCCATTCTGAACACAGCCTAAGTGACGTGAAAATATGGCGGAAATTCAAACCTCTTACCGCATCCCGACCTGTTAACAGTTCTCCTCTGCTTGGAGTACACACAGACTTGGCGTAATAATTCTCCAGTTTGACTCCCTCCCTAGCCAGTCGATCCAGGGTTGGTGATTTCACCTGGTTGTTATGGTAACCTATGTCATTCCAACCCATGTCGTCTGCTAGGAACAAGACAATGTGCGGCGGTGTGGCGGAAACAGCCGAACAAATCCGATGCAGCAAAACCCAAGCAAGAACCGATGGAATGACAGAAGTCCACCCCATCACGGAAACCGTTTACTTCTCTAAATCGAGAAAGCGTCTCTTGGCTAGATCTTAATGCTACATCAGTTTATCTCAGCGCCGATAGATGCTATTGTAGGTCGGTAGCTGAGAACTGAAGCTTTAGGTTAATAGATTTAGATAAACAGTTTTTATAACGAGTAGCAGATGGCCAAAATGCTAATTAAGTGCTGACATGTGCGGAATTTCGATGTGTTAATTTTTGACCCAAAACANCAACATACTCTGTGACGAAAGCTATATTAGGAAAAACATATATTAAAACGTTTTATATAAAATGTCCATAAAGGTTCATTTCCCACGCGAGGACCTTTTTTACTCGTTTTTTTTTCTCGTTTTTTCCTTTAATTTCTGTATTCCTTATACCTGTGAAATATTTTAAGTGTCACACACACATGCAGGTACAGCACATGTACAATTCCATACATATATACAAACGTGCAAAAGTTATGTGGAGAAAATGAGAAAATGATGAATGGCAAAATCGTATCTAAATCGTAGGATATCTCTTTTCTTGGTTTTCTTTGATTTATTAATTTTTTTATTTACTATTACTACCTGCGGTCCCCGTGATGATTTTCCAATCTCCACGTCTTAGAGACGCCCTCTGCGTGGTGTCAAATGTGTCGTTGTAAAGCGGGCGTCCTCGAGGGGGGTACCACGACGAGGGAGATATCAGTTCATGGATGACCTCGTATCTGTGACCCGTTTTTCCGGAACTGAAAGTGATGGTCGAATTATAGACTAAGGCTTAATTACTGGCAGCGCGAGCCAGTTACTTAAAGTAACTTATAGTAACTGGCTCGCGCTGCCAGTAATTACGCCGCGGGATATTCAGGGCACAGACCGTGATCATAAGACATACCGCGAATAGAAAATAGAATTTAGAAAATAGACATTGCATGTGAATGAAGCCTTAACGGTTGTATTTTTGAGACCAAAGAAATGTTTATCCAAAGTAATTCGCGCAGAGATATCCGGGTGCAATGGATTCTGGTTGGATGATGGAAAAATATATACGTAAGCTCTTAAAACAATAAAATGTGCTAGATATACTTTCATTAAGAAAAGCAAAGATTTGTGATGCATGCTATAAAAAATTGAGTCGAAATCACCGACGCAAGCAGATGGAAGTGATGACCACAAATTTTCAATTATCACCTAGGAAAAGTTTGACCCACCTTAAAGTATTCCAAACATCAAATCCATCTAATCCAAGATTTTCAACATCTACTCCCGCTAATCTGAGCAATGTCGGACACCAGTCTGTGATGGTAATGAGGTCACGCACGGTTCTTCCCGGCCTCTGTAGCAGTTTACTCCATACAAAAGCTGGCACTTTTATCCCACCTTCCCAGAGAGATCCCTTGATGCCCCTGTAGGGGGCGTTGTCAGCGCCCTGTTTTGGCGCACCGCCATTGTCTGAAAAATATCGCAAAACTTCTACGACAACTGTGGTGAGTTGTTGGTTACACTTAATCTTTCAGTTGTATTGTAAACAGAAAAGTTTTAGCCGGATAAGCTGAAAGTAACTTAGTGAGACTCCCCACGGGGAAAGATCGATCTAAAATCTATGGGAATGCAGTCTTAGTCTATTTCATCTCCAGCGCGTTAAAATACTATCTGTTACAGCAGCAACAAACGCCACCTACCGGATGAAAATACAATCAAGGAGTTCTCAAGCATATCCCGCTGTATCAAACTCTCCACAATATCGGATACTGTCTTGTCCAAAGCGGACACCATACCTAGAAAAAAAAAAAAGAAAATAAAACATTACAGACAGTTTGACCAGGATGCTACAATATAGTAGAGGGTTATAAAAACCACGTAAGATGAGACTGACAAGGAAAGAAAAATAATGATCACACAATGATCACACACAACTACAGTGGTGAGGTTACATGTGTTAGTACCTGGCAGTATAAACGACAGATAAGCTCTTGAAAATGCGCAGATCTGACTCCTTTCAACTTGGACAATTAACGTACCTAAATACGTTTTCCTCACGCCACTCGGAACTAACCCATCATATAGGCTTTCAAATCTTTTTGGGACTTGAACCGGTTCGTGAACGAGTTGGAATGGCATGTACAAAAACAAAGGCTGCAAAAGTGGATGAAATACCTTTCATGGCACAACAAAACGTTTGTAAAATAACATTAAATTTGAAAACCAAACTTTATTATGTATGATATAAAAAGACGACTCTCCTCTGTAGCGGTCCCCTCTACTTACCTGATTGGTATTGTGATGGCGTATGATATCTGTTGCCACACGAGAGTATATCTCTGTTGCGTACACGCCGTATTTGGACCGATCTGGCACCGTCCCGTTCCAAAGGTCAAGGCCGCAGACACCAGGAAATACCGAGAAACAACTTCTGTGAGAATAGAAGTCTGTGCTTCCGCCGTATATCCCTAAATAGGATAAAATTATTAAATCACAGCCAATTGGTCCGTGAACAAACAGATCCGCGGATCAAATATGGCCGACTCATTTGAAAGCTTGTTGCGTTATCTCCGCAGGGAACGTATTCTTAGGGGATTATGCGAAACCCTTTCAAATGCGGATTATATTATTCTGAATGCGCCTTAAGTGCTCATTATCAGTTCCGTTGGGAACCAGCCTCGCCATTTTCAAAACTACCCTATATAATACTGTGTGCATGCGTAGCAGGCATTTATGAAAATTTGCCAGCGAAAACGCAGAAGCTGGTCCTTGGCCTGAATAAATCTATAATGGAGGGAGGACACTTTGTCTTACAGCTATTTGTTTTTTAACACCGGTATAAAGAAAACTGGTTAAATAATCAACCAGCAGAAAACTATATTATGCGCAGTCTTAATTACCATACAATCCAACAAGTACATGTAGTATCTATCCTGTGCTTCAGGATAACTTCTAAACTGTACCATGCCGTTGCCGTGTAAAGAAGGAACTCGTACATGTAACGGCAAAGTCATGCTATAGTTGAGAGGTTTGTTTGAAATTATCTCTGAAGCTCAGGGTGACAGATACATATGTAATGGTATGTATACAGCGTATATAGAGGCCATAACGATACTGTTCATGTGTCACACCAAAAACTTCTTAAAAGATAATAAAATCCCGAAATAAAAATAATTAACTCTACACTGAGTTAGGGTCCTCTCAAAAGAAACCTCTGACGTAACTCACCATAGAAGCTGTCAAAGCCTCTATAGGTTGGGGTATGTTTGTACGTGTAGTGCCCTAGATGCCACTTCCCGACCATGTGGGTGGCGTAATCCGATGCAGCAAAACCCAAGCAAGAACCGATGGAATGACAGAAGTCCACCCCATCATGGAAACCGTTTACTTCTCTAAATCTAAATCTCAGCGCCGATGGATGCTATTGCAGGTCGGTAGCCGAGAGCTGAAGCTTTAGGTAAACAGATTTAGATAAACAGTTTTTATAACGAGTAGCAGATGGCCAAAATGCTAATTAAGTGCTGACATGTGCTGAATTTCGATGTGTTAATTTTGACACAAAACACTACCAGATGTATTGCCTGTCCCTGTAAGCCATACACAGGCACACACGCATGCACAAATAATAATAATAATAATAATAATAATAATAATAATAAATAATAATTAAGTGGTCGCGTTCTCTTTGTCATGCAAACGTTGTAGGCCTTTCCCCTTAATTATTGAGGGTACCGGAGGAGGCAGGATTGTGTCGGAAGTGACGTGTAGTGGTGTAAGACGTGAAACTGAGTGGTCAGTTTTAGCTGGAGGTGAACGGGAGTAAAGACGTGGACTCTGAGAAAAAAGCAGTTTTTCCAACAACATAGTTAGATATATAGAGCCTATAACGATACTGTACATGTATCACACCCTGAAAAAGGCTTCTTACAAGATAAAAAATACTGAAATAAAAATAATTAACTCTACACTGAGTTAGGGTCCTCTCAAAAGAAACCTCTGACGTAACTCACCATAGAAGCTGTCAAAGCCTCTATAGGTTGGGGTATGTTTGTACGTGTAGTGCCCTAGATGCCACTTCCCGACCATGTGGGTGGCGTATCCCCTCTCTTTCAGCCTCTGGGGGAGTAGCTTTTCCGTCAAAGGCATGCCCACGGGATCACCATGTGTGAAGACAGCCGACAGACCGGTAGTAGCCTAGAATCCGTGGAAACAATTAAAACATACATAGTCAGAAAGTTTTCATTTATGATAGTTCCTGAAATTTGATTTACCTGTTGACTGTTTCGTCTGTTCACTCTGACAGACTTGGTCACAACTGAATTCTCAAACCCACCGGGGGGGAGGGGGGCGAGAGGGACTAACAAGTCATCATCAAGACTGAGGTAATTACCTGTTCACCTTCACCTGAACAGGTAATTCAGTTGTGACCAAGTCTGTCAGAGTGAACCGACGAAACAGTCAACAGGTAAATCAAATTTCAGTATCTATCATAAATGAAAACTTTCTGACTATCAAATCTAAGATCCAATGAAACTATTTTCACAATTAAAACTTACATGTATAGATACTAGTATTAGTTTGCTAACTACTTAACTAATAAACTGACTAACCAAATGACTCAATAAACAGATAAGGAACTAACTGCAAAGGAATTAATAGATAAATACGGAAAGATGTGCAAAGAGACGGATACATCACTAATTGTAATATATGAATTATTATTCAAATGGGTCAGACAATTAAACGGAGTACATTGACTGCGCCTTGGTGAGAATCCCCGCTGAGAAAGATCGACCCTGCTAGTGCTGCACCTTCCATTCTGAACACAGCCTAAGTGACGTGAAAATATGGCGGAAATTCAAACCTCTTACCGCATCCCGACCTGTTAACAGTTCTCCTCTGCTTGGAGTACACACAGACTTGGCGTAATAATTCTCCAGTTTGACTCCCTCCCTAGCCAGTCTATCCAGGGTTGGCGATTTCACCTGGTTGTTATGGTAACCTATGTCATTCCAACCCATGTCGTCTGCTAGGAACAAGACAATGTGCGGCGGTGTGGCGGAAACAGCCGAACAAATCCGATGCAGCAAAACCCAAGCAAGAAGCGATGGAATGACAGAAGTCCACCCCATCATGGAAACGGTTTACTTCTCTAAATCTAAATCCCAGCGCCGATAGATGCTATTGCAGGTCGGTAGCTGAGAGCTGAAGCTTTAGGTAAATAGATTTAAATAAACAGTTTTTATACTGAGTAACAGATGGCCAAAATGCTAATTAAGTGCTGACATGTGCGGAATTTCGATGTGTTAATTTTTAAACCAGAACACACTACCAGATGTATTGCCTGTCCCTGTAAGCCATACACAGGCACACGCGCATGCACAAATAATAATAAAAAATAGTAATAATAAAGTGGTCGGGTTATCTTTATCATGCAAACGCTGTAGGCCTTTCCCCTTAATTATTGAGGGTACCGGAGGAGGCAGGATTGTGTCGGAAGTGACGCGTAGTGGTGTAAGACGTGAAACTGAGTGGTCAGTTTTAGCTGAGGGTGAACGGGAGTAAAGACGTGGACTCTGAGAAAAAAGCAGTTTTTCCAACAACATAGTTAGATAACATTTTTTTTCTTTTGGTATTTTGGGCAGAAAATACTTGTAGAAATAATATGAAAACGTGATACGATACTTGAAGGTGCGATATTTTGCTTAATTTGCAGTCAATCTGTTTTGAAATGTATGCTGCATCGATCGACAGCGCGTGAAAGAACGTCAAGGGAAAAGAATTCCCGCGAGGCTGTAAGTTGTTGTAACATGTAAATCAAATCTTATTTTAGATACAAAGTATTTTATTCATACATTTTTTGTAAATGTAGTTTTTAATAACAATGATATTTAATTTTTAATAACAATGATATTTATGTTTGTTAAAACATGTTTTTAAGGTTAAGGCTAAAGAATAGAACAGCAAGCGTTACAATCAAGGAAACGCACACACACGCACACACACACACAGAGTCAATTTTATTAAAGCCTGATACGTAAGGAATTATTTTCTAAAAAGTAAAGGTCTTTTCAAGACATAACCAACAAGTGAAAGTTAGTAGTTCAACATTTTTCATATCTTTTTTTAATTGCTTGGCATATATCATTTCTTTAAAGGATGCCCTTTATTACTTTCTTCTCCTTGTACGTAATTAAATCAATGAGCTATATTCTGACATAACTACTTGATTTCATTTGGTAAATCGTATTAAAAGACTTGTTCTAGTCCACCAGTACTTCTTAACTTTAAATAGTCTCACATTAATACATAAAAAGCCGTTGAGGCGAGGAAATAAAGCCAAAAGTAACGATTAGCACTTTCAGAGGTGGAACCACTAGTAGGATAAACAGCCGGACCCCAAACACCATTCTGTGTTGCTGCATTTAGGGCTGGATCTGGGCCGGGCCATATTGTAGGTGGTGCCATCTGCCGGATAGTTTCTAGTCTGTCCAACATGAGTCGCACTACATCCGGGTATTTTTCTGACACGTCATATTGCTCATACGGATCTTTAGTAATGTTGTACAGCCACACGTTCTTGCTAAGGGACACGTTCTGGATGCTGGGGTCGATTCCAATAATTTCAAGTTCCACTGGTTCTCCATTGACATACTCTGTGACGAAAGCTATATTAGGAAAAACATATATTAAAAAAGAAACGTTTTAATATAAAATGTCCATAAAGGTTCATTTCCCACGCGAGGGCCTTTTTTACTCGTTTTTTTTTTCTCGTTTTTTTCTTTAATTTTTGTATTCCTTATACCTGTAAAATATTTTAAGTGTCACACACACATGCAGTTACAGCACATGTACAATAACACACATATATACAAACGTGCAAAATTTATGTGGAGCAAATGGGAAAATGATGAATGGCAAAATCGTATCTAAATCGTAGGATATCTCTTTTCTTGGTTTTCTTTGATTTATTAAATTTTTTATTTACTATTACTACCTGCAGTCCCCGTGATGATTTTCCAATCTCCACGTCTTAGAGACGCCCTCTGCGTGGTGTCAAAGGTGTCGTTGTAAAGCGGGCGTCCTCGAGGGGGGTACCACGACGAGGGAGATATCAGTTCATGGATGACCTCGTATCTGTGACCCGTTTTTCCGGAACTGAAAGTGGCGGTCTAGTTAAAGACTACACGGTTGTATTTTTGAGACCAAAGAAATGTTTATCCAAAGTAATTCGCGCAGAGATATCCGGGTCCAATGGATTCTGGTTGGATGATGGAAAAATAAATACGTTAGCTCTTAAAACAATAAAATGTGCTAGATATACTTTCATTAATAAAAGCAAAGATTTGTGATGCATGCTATAAAAAAGAAAAAAAAACTTCAAGTCGAAATCACCCACGCAAGCAGATGGAAGTGATGACCACAAATTTTCTATTATAACCTAGGAAAAGTATCACCCACCTTAAAGTATCCCAAACATCAAATCCATCTAATCCAAGATTTTTAACATCTACTCCCGCTAATCCGAGCAATGTCGGACACCAATCTGTGATGGTAATGAGGTCACGCGCGGTTCTTCCCGGTCTCTGTAGCAGTTTACTCCATACAAAAACTGGCACTTTTATCCCACCTTCCCAGAGAGATCCCTTGATGCCCCTGTAAGGGGCGTTGTCAGCGCCCTGTTTTGGCGCACCGCCATTGTCTGAAATATATCGCAAAAGTTCCACGACAACAGTGGTGAATTGTTGGTTAGTTTAATTCATTCAGTTGTTTTGTAAACAAAAAAAGTTTTAGCCGGCTAAGCTGACAGTAATCTAGTGAGACTCCCCACGGGGATAGATCAATCTTAAATCTGTGGGAATGCAGTCTTAGTCTATTTCATCTCCAGCGCGTAAAAATACTTTTTGTTACAGCAGCAACGAACGCCACCTACCGGATGAAAATACAATCACGGAGTTCTCAAGCATCCCCTGCTGTATCAAACTCTTCACAATATCAGATACCGTTTTGTCCAAAGCGGACACCATTCCTAGAAAAAAAAACATTACAGACAGTTTGACCAGGATGCTGCAATATGGTAGAGGCTTATAAAAACCACGTAAGATGAGACTGACAAGGAAAGAAAAATAATGATCACGTGCACACAATGATCACACACAACTACAGTGGTGAGGTTACATGTGTTAGTACCTGCCAGTATAAACGAGAGATAAGCTCTTGAAAATGCGCAGATCTGACTCCTTTCAACTTGGACAATTAACATACCTAAATACGTTTTCCTCACGCCGCTCGGATCTAACCCATCATATAGGCTTTCAAATCTTTTTGGGACTTGAACCGGTTCGTGAACGAGTTGGAATGGCATGTACAAAAACAAAGGCTGCAAAAATGGATAAAAGTGCCTATCATGACACAACAAAACGTTTGTAAAAAAAGTTGCATGCAACATTGAAATTGAAAACTAAGGCCTAACGTAATCATGTATGATATGAAAAGACATCTCTTCGCTGTAGCGATCCCCTGTACTTACCTGATTGGTATTGTGATGGCGTATTATATCCGTTGCCACGCGAGAGTATATCTCTGTTGCGTACACGCCGTATTTGGACCGATCTGGCACAGTCCCGTTCCAAAGGTCAAGGCCACAGACACCAGGAAATGCCGAGAGACAATTTCTGTGGGAATAGAAGTCTGTGCCTCCGCCGTATATCCCTAAATAGGAAAAAAATCGTAAAATCTAAGGCCGTATTCACAACAGCGGACTAAGTAGTCCGCGGATCAAATATGGCCGTCCTACTTGAATGCTTGTTGCGCTATCCCCGCAGAGAATCTATTCAGTGTCTATTTAAGGATTATGCGGCAAGCTTTCAAGTGGGTATGTCATATTTGATCCACGGATTTGTTAGTCCGCGGATCGTCTTGTTTTGAATGCACCATAAGTACCTAGAGCTTCAATATTAGTTTCAATTCGAGGGTGACAAGTAATGGTATGATATGGTATGCATACAGTGTATATGGAGACTATAACGATATTGTACCAGTATCATACCCTGAAGAAGACTTCTTACACTGAAGTAGAAATAACTGTACACTAAGTTAAAGGGATAATAACTCTTCGTTTCGGCCAAAAAATGAATTTTCCTGGAGTAAACAACAATTTTCCCATACTAACCAATGGTTAATGAATCCATTTTTACATTCAAAATTAGTCCCTGGTTTTTTTCTAAAAAGTTTGATTTTTTGTTAAAATCTCTTAAGACAGAGTATAGCCATCAATGGAGGTCATGTGGTCTAAAGAGACGCTCAGATATCAGAATAAAAGCTATAACTGCCGTTTTTGTGGTAAAACAGAATACATTATATTTCTATGAGTTATTCACAATGTTTTTTTTTTTTGTAAAATATAGATCTCATACGAAGAGTTATTATCCCTTTAAGGTCTTGCTGGAAGAGATCTCTGTTGTAACTTACCGTAGAAGCTGTCAAAGCCTCTATACGTTGGGGTATGTTTGTACGTGTAGTGCCCTAGATGCCACTTCCCGACCATGTGGGTGGCGTATCCCCTCTCTTTCAGCCTCTGGGGGAGTAGTTTCTCCGTCAAAGGCATGCCCACGGGATAGCCATGCATGTAGGCAACCGACAGACCGGTGGTTACCTAGAAATCGTTGACATTACTAAAGTTATACATGTATATACAATTATTAGTTTGCTAACTAACTGACTAACTAACTAACTGACTTACAAACTAACTAACTAACTAACTAAATAACTAACTAATTGACTGACTAACCAACTTAATGACTAAATGAACAGATAAAAAACTAACTGTAAATAAATGGATAAGTAAGTAAAGATATGCTAAGAGATGGGTACATCAGTTATTGAAGTGTATGAATTAAAATACACATGGGTGATTGAGGTTACTCTTGAAAAACGGGAAAGACCAAAGAGAGAGAGAGAGAAAGAGGGGGTGGAAGGGAGAAAGATGGTGAAAGAGAGAAATTAACAGAGAAAGAGAAATGAACAGAGAGAAAGGGAAAGATAGAGAAAAAAATGAACACAGAGAGAGAGAGCGAGAGAGAGAGAGAGAGAGAGAGAGAGAGAGGATGGAAGTGATCAGTGAGAGAGACAAATAAAGAGAGATGGTGTTGGAGATGCATATGAGAGAGTGAAATCTGATGCAGAGGAACTGAAGTGATAGCTTGGGCAGTACATGTTTATAGGGAAGGCGAAAATATGATGGAAATTCAAACCACTCACCGCATCTTGACCTGTTAACAGTTCTCCTCTGCTTGGAGTACACACGGACTTGGCGTAATAATTCTCCAGTTTGACTCCCTCCCTAGCCAGTCGATCCAGGGTTGGTGATTTCACCTGGTTGTTATGGTAACCTATGTCATTCCATCCCATGTCGTCTGCTAGGAACAAGACAATGTGCGGCGGTGTGGTGGAAACGGCCGAACAAATCCGATGCAGCAAAACCCAAGCAAGAACCGATGGAATGACAGAAGTCCACCCCATCATGGAAATCGCTTACTTCTCTAAGTCTAGAAAGACACTGCTATATTATTTCTCGTATTTCTAACTAAGAATGTTATTCTAAATTTGGTAATTGTATTTGGCACATTGCCCTTGGTGGCTTCAAAAACACCGTGTCAACAAAACTGAGGGGCGCCACTTAAATCTGCGTTTTGACAGCTTGTTTTAAAGAATAAACAAATGCTATTCTGTTTCGCATTTCTGGAGTTGGCATACGTGTCTCTGCTTAACATCAAATCCAGAAAATGGTTAGTTTTCTTCTTAAATTATTCCCTTTTGTTTTGTCTGTGCACGTGTATACAGTGACTGTATCTGGAAAAAAGTGCTTCTGTTTCGTTGATATGGCAAAGTTAAGGCAATTAAAAAAAAAAAACAACAACAACTTACGGATGTTGAATATAAATTCGTGGAAGAATTCCAAATGTTGAGTATAGATGGCGTATTAGAGCCCCTGTGTAGGACTATATCAGTGGGCATAGTGTGATTTGCGTTTATGCTTGACTGTTTTTTCTTCTATCATATTACGGAGCATGTTTAAAAACCCAATGCACGTGCACTATATTATATCTAAACATATTATATCACATATTATAACACAAAATTTATGTACCAGCGCAGGTATCATATGCATTTCATTGGATTGCTAAAGGCACGCATTATCTCTATTATTCATCCATGTGAATTTTACCAGCGCGATCAGTCTCGTGCAAAAAGTATTTATAAACAGTTTTAAAGGTTTCATTTACGATAGATCCACATATTTGATTTACCTGTTGACTGCTTCGTCTGTTCACTCTTACAGACTTGGTAACAACTGAATAACCTGTTCAAGGTGAAGGTGAAAAACTGAACAAGTAATACAAACTGAGATCCAATGAAATTACAGTATTTCCACAGTTTTAATAAAGTATATATATATATAGTTTCCGTCATAAAAAGGAGGCCTGTGTTTTTTAACCGGTTTCCATATAAACTCTACCTTGCTAAGCATATAGGAAAATGGGGACATGGAAGCTGTACAATGTCTGTGACCCGTATCGGAGGCATCGTGTACTTAATATAGAATAAAAAAATGCCCTAATGGTGCCCTATATGTATTCGGTGCGGGTCTACACATTGTTTAACTCGGGGCGTTTTTGCAGAATATGAAATGAAATGCTTACGTTCAACGTTATAGGTTTTGTCAGGGAATACATACCAAGTGTCTGCCGAGGTGAAGATGGAGCTTACTATCTCCGTGTTCATTGTAATGTTGTCTTTGCTTGGAGTAAGTGTGAGAGGGACTGGGAAGAGACCTCCACACATCATCGTGTTCCTAGCAGACGACATGGGTTGGAACGACGTAGGTTACCATAACAACCAGGTGAAATCGCCAACTCTGGATCGACTGGCTAGGGAGGGAGTCAAACTGGAGAATTATTACGCTAAGTCTGTGTGTACTCCAAGCAGAGGAGAACTGTTAACAGGTCGGAATGCGGTGAGCTCTTTCTTTATCTCTCACTGTTAATTTCCATCCTCTCTCTCTCTCTCTCTCTCTCTCTCTCTCTCTCTCTCTCTGTGTGTGTGCCTGTGTGTGTGTGTGTGTGTGTGTGTGTGTGTGTGTGTGTGTGTGTGTGTCATTCTGGCCACTTTCCTTTTATTCACCCCTTTACTCTCAAACCATTTCTTGCTGTCCTGATAGCTCTTTCTTTCTTTCTTTCCTTATTTCACTCTACACTGTATATCTCTACGAGAGCTTACGAGATTGCATTAGATGTTTGTAAAAATTGCATAGTTAAATCAGTAGATATGTTTATATAGTTAAATTACAGCCCTCTACACAGCATACGCATTCACTATTGTTATAGAGCCCATCTCAGGCCTTATCGTTAATTCAAGCCTTGCATATGGTCTAGGCAAAGTTAATTTGGACTTTCTTTATCCATTAAAGGGCAATTGATGGGATTTACCCACCAAAATGGAATTTTTTTCGGGGAAATTAGCCATTTTCTAGCACTCACGAACCCCTAATCTATCCCTTTCTCTACTTGGATTCGACCTTTAAGTGAATTTATAAAGGTTGACTTAGTTTAAAAAGGCCATTCATTATTAGGCCTACCAGCGACCATCTCCCTAAGCTTCGATGAAAGTATCAACATCAAGTACGCTCCGCAATAAATTGTTTAAGGAGTTAAATCGTTTTTAAGGCGTATGTAAAGTAGTATAAGTATATGTGGATGGCAAAAATAAACATTTGGAGGATTTTCAGACCCATGAAGTGTACCTTTAACCTCAAATTACCAGTAATCTATATTTTCAGGCTTGGACAGGCCTCGCTTTGCCATACATGCAAGGAATGCCGATGGCCCTGCCGCTGAACGAGACTTTGCTTCCACAGCGTCTCAAGGAGAGAGGTTACCGAACCCACATGGTCGGCAAGTGGCACATTGGTCACTACACTTGGAAGAACACTCCTCTGTACAGGGGATTTGATAGTTTTTATGGTAAGATTCCCCTAGATATATCCCCTCCTCTCTCTCTCTCTCTCTTTCTCTCTCTCTCTCTCTCTTGAAGCTGATTTCGTGCTTTTGAAAACTAAAGTTGCTATAATGATGAGTCAGGATAAAATTTTCGTGAATTATTCAGTTTATTTAATCATTTAATAGTTTATTTATCTCCCGGAATATGTGTTTTATAGCTGGGGCTATAATTGCAGAGAAAATGATCTACTGACAAATTTTTCTTTATATAAATGTAGTTCAGTTAGTCATATAAGACAGCGGGCTTTTTTAAGGTTTTGGCACTTTGGTATAAAAAAAACCCTTATCTTCTCGTTCATAAGGTATTTTCGGCGCCGCGAATGACTATTTTACTCACACGGAATGCTTGTCCACGTTTGGTCAGTGTGGTCTTGACCTTTGGAACGGAACAAAGCCAGATTGGACCAAACACGGGACGTTTGCCACGTACATCTACACCGATGTGGCCAAGGACATTATTAAGAAACACGATGCTGATAAAGTGAGTTAAATTTCTCTTTTTATCACTATCCCACATTGCAATGTAAGTGCCGAGAAACTCCTATACTAGTATTGACTTTTCTGGATTGGAAACCGCATTGACGTCATTTGAGTTTGCTTTTTTTAATCCGAAAGCACCAATTCCGTCCACACAGGGACGTCATCTGGGACTGGAATCAGACAAACAAAGGCAGAAACATGGCGTATCACGTAGCGTGGATTTTCGCACAATTTCTGCCAGAACATTTTTATTCGGACATCGCCATTCCAAAAGCGGTGCTAAGAAACTGTGTAGCGCCAGCACAGTCGGTGCGAGCTGTTCCAACTAGAACTGACATCAAAGGAAGCATATAAATGCATATAAGGCATGGGCAATTCCACTGTCTTTTATTCTTTTGTAATATGTCTATTGCCTGCTATTTAAATTTCATTTCCCTTTATAACTGTCTTACTTAATATTCAAATTCGAAGAAAATAGTCACTTTATTTTGCTATGTAAATGAAATGAATAATAATAATAATAATAATAATAATAATGATACATGATAATCCGGTTTTAACATTGTTTTGCGATTTTCATGCTTTCAGCCGCTTTTCCTATATGTCGCCTTTCAACTTGTGCACGAACCTCTAAAAGTACCCAAGAAATACGAGGAACTCTATGACGGGGTCGTACCGGAGGGCGTCAGGAAAATATACTTGGGTGAGAAACGGACATTATTTTTATCTTTCCCCTCATCATGCAACAGTTTTGGATGTTTTCTTCACAAACTGCTAACGAAATAAGTGTTTAATTACGGAATTAAATAAGTTAAAGAACGCATTTCTCGACATTCCATTTCCCCATTTCAAATTAACAATTAGTTTTTGGCAGACCAGATATTTTGCTAAGGCTAGTTTTATCAGTCACGTGACAGGAATGGGCAGCCTGCTTGGAACCGGAGTCAGTTTCCCAATACTTCTTACACGTGACCTTTGCTCCATATACTGACATGCGGCTGTATTCTTACCTACCTTATCATACGGGAGCCCGGATTGCTGTTTCAGGGTACCATTTTTGCTAGGTTGGACAGTTTTCATTACGGCTGACACTATGTTCAAAACACCCTAACAAGAATGACATCATCTACAAGTAAAGAATTTTCCTTATTTTTTTGTGAAAGCATACAGATACCTAAATTTGACATTTTTCATCAATCAAAAATTCGGAATATTTTACATGTTTTGATGGATTTGAATTGGTTGAAGTCTTTATTTTCAATTTATACCGGTAACTTTATCTTAAAATTGTATATTTGAACACAGATGGCTCTAATCCAAGATGGCCACCACATGAAATGAGCTTTTTCTTTAGATCACAAGACAAATTATTTAAACACTTTGTGTCCTATGTTGTTTTGATTTCTTTCTAGGAATGGTATCTGCGTTAGACGAGGCTGTATCCGAGGTGATGGGCTCGTTGGCACAGCAAGGAATGCTTGACAACACTGTGATCGTATTTTCGTCCGGTAGGTGACGTTCTCTTTAAACTCTATTTCAACTGTTTCTTTTATCAGTTTGACAGAAAAATTAAAATCGAGACCGATTTTACCCTTTGAGACAGTCTCATATTAAAATAAAGCTCTAAGGAATTTCAATTTTAGCAATAAAAATCGGCCGGTGTCTTTCTGTTGTACTTATTAAAACATAAAACCAACAAGATTTTCCCTGGGTAAGTTGTAAAATTCTCCCACGTACCAAACCAACATCCAAAGCATTTTCTTTTATTTGAAAGTAAAAATGGGTGCGACAAAATTCTTAGTTGCACTAGTATTTCTCTAAAATCAGGATCAGTCTCGATTGTAACACACATCTCAATATTGTCTTTTATTTGTCAATAATGTTCTCTCTGACAGACAATGGCGGTGCCCCAGACGTGGGTGCTGACAACGGCCCTTACAGGGGCATCAAGGGGTCTCTCTGGGAAGGTGGGATAAAAGTGCCAGCCTTTGTATGGAGTAAACTGCTACAGAAACCGGGAAGAACCGCTCGTGACCTCATTACCATCACAGACTGGTGTCCGACATTGCTCGGTTTAGCGGGAGTCCAGGTGGAAGGGGTTGAAGCGATGGACGGATTCGATGTATGGGACGTGTTGAGGTACTACAATGGGACATTCACACACAGTTGATCCTCGGATTAACTAGTCGGCGGATTAAATATGGCGCGTACTTGAAAGCATGTGCCGAAATTTTTAAATTTTTAAATTAAAATTGCTGTAGCTGCCCTTGCTAGGACGGCGTGCGTAGAAGGGTTTCTATCATGTTATTGTAAGACGTTTATGTGGCTTGCTTTCAAGTTGATCTAGATAGTCAACGGATCAACTGGTTGTGAATGCTCCATATTTCTGTTTCATTTGCAATGGCAGGACTTTCGTGCAACTTGGCCTACACGTGAACTCCTGTTCTAAAAACCATTCATATCGTTACTTGCAATACTGGTTGGCTTAAAATTTGCCTACAATTTGCCTACAGCGAGTGATACATGTTACATCCTGGTCCTAAAAGCACCAATAAAAGAATTCCCCAATATCTACAGATAGGGTAGCATGCTACACATATACAGGCCTAAACTAAGCAGTCGGCTGAGGGAAATGTTTGGAGCAGCTTTTGAAGTCCTAGGTGTTACATGGTATCGGGTTATTTGTACCACCTATGCACAAATGTTTTTGCTGACTGAAGGAAAAGTAAAGGAAAAAAGCTTTGATGAACAGCATTTCAATTAAAAAAGTATCTCCCATACTTTTGTTTTTCAAAATCTCTGTATTATGCAAATGCGAAATCAACGTACAGGTATTGATTGAACTTCAATCCTTCCAGCAAAGACCACCGCGGAACGAGAGTGGAAATTATCCATGAATTAGTGTCCCCACCATCATTTATTCCAAGACGTGGCAAGGAACTGTACAACGACACCTTTGACACATCATTGAGAGCCTCTTTACGGCAGGGAGATTGGAAAATCATCACTGGAACTCCAGGTAACCATGCCAACCTGCCACAGAGTTCGTTTTTGTTCCATCTTTGATATACTTCTTGGTATTCAGTGCATCAATTGTGCTTAAAAATGTGAATTTAAAAAAAGTTATATTGTTTAATTGTACATTTATGTCCAAATCGCCTCGTCAGTTTGATTTCCAAATGAAAATTAAGTGGCTTTCTTTTATCAAAAATTGCCGTGTGAGTTTGTCTTTGTTTTCCGAATATCCTTTCACCCTAAATTGTTTCTAAAATCTTTTTATTTCACCAAATAAAATCTTTTTAGAATCATTATCTTTAAAGAGAAGTGATCACTGTATAGCATTTCTGTAGCAATTAAATTGTTCGGTTAGTTAGGTTGTCATTTAAAGTGGATTTTATCTATTCACAGTTGTTTTTCTAGAAAAAAATTATATGTTCGGCGTTTGTTTTCTTTTACTTTATTGTAACCCCTACACCAAAATATGTTATTGCAGCTTTTCTCTTGGCCTATACCGAGGATGGCGAACCTGTTGGATTGGATATTATAGGTGTGGACCCCAACATTCAAAACGTTTCTTTGAATAAAAACGTATGGCTCTACAACATTACTAAAGATCCGTATGAAGTCAATGACGTAGCAGACAAGAACCCAGGCGTAGTGCGCCACCTATTGGACAGACTGGAAGCAATCCGCCAGATGGCACCATCTACAATGTTTCCACCACCGGACCCAGCCCTGTATTCTAAGTTCCACAATGGTGCTTGGGCTCCAGTTGACGTTCCTGATAAAATAACGTAGGGAGCCGAAGTAAGATAACTCTGTTACACAAAATATTTTTTATTCTTCAACTTATCACTGTACTATAAATATAAAAAAATATCATTTTTAATTATTTTGTGTTCCATTTGATTTGTTATTTAAAATTACAGTACATATTTATGGACACATTCCAATTCCAAAGTTGCCGAACCATAATTGTAAAAGAGTGCATTTTTATTTGAGATATTTTGACGTAATTAATCATCTAAACAAAAACATCTACGAAACCATGTGTCTGCATGTAAGTAATGCGTAATCAATTTTAAAAATAATATAAAATATTTCATTTATTTCAATTTATTATAACTGATTCACATAAAAATCCTATTAATAAACAAGCACACGAGTTCCTTTTGCAGCCAGAAAATAAGCTTCATTCGTAACAAATCATATTGAAAAAAAAATCATTAAAATTATTAAAAGTAAATTATTATTCGATATAATTAAAAATCAAGAGTAGGGGTCACTTTCACCGGTACAAAGAAGGGGCCGTAGCGATAGTCCGAAGGTTCATTGGTCCGAATGTTCACTATAGAACCTTCGGACCAATGAACCCTTGATTAAAAAATCGATGAAAATGTTACCACTTTTCGGACCAATGAACCTTCGGACCAATGAACCTTCGGACTATCGAGACGCCCCCACAAAGAAGGCATTTTCACACCCTGTTTGGCCGAACTCAACAATGAGTTGAAGTATAGGACATTTGCTTAGAGCATAAGATTGAACATAATTGCAACTAAGAATAAGAATGATTATAACATAAAAGATAAGCCTAAAAATTCAATAATTATATAATGACTTTTAAAGGTAAACTGAGCAATTTTGCTTAACAGTGACGCCTGAGAAATGCACTTGCTTTATGAGGAATAGGAAATTTTGGCAGAACGGAGAATGGCCCACTGTTACGCATAACTACCAAAGTACTAAAACAAGTCAAACTAATATGAATTCAGACGAGAGGACTAGATTTAAATTCTCCTTTAAACGGTCTGATGACACAAGTTGGATGGCTACTCCGTCCAAATATGTCCTAAGAGAATGCAATTCATGTTAATTAACAAACATTCATTCTACATTAGATGTTAATTAAACAAACTTCAGGTTCCTTGAAAATACCACTTAATAACAGAGCTACGTGTACCCTATTAAATCTTCAACCTTTCAATTTATGTTTCATAAAATTAATCTGCGGTTTATTGTTCCGCGGAGCGTTTCTATATTTTGCCTGAAAATCAGCCAAAGCTTTCCACTGTTTCTGACGCTGAAACATCTCCATCGCCGCACGAGGGTCGCCACGCGGGACTGGCGCTCCCTGGGGCGGGCCAGGCGGTGGAGGCCGAAACCCCATACCCGGGGGTGGCGGTCGAGGATTGAACGGTTGATTTTGGACTTGCTTTTGGTACGGGTTTTCACGAAACCAGTCTATATTGACCGGTGGTTTGGGCCGTTTGTATAAAAAGCCATACGAGCCCCGCACGTTATTGCTTAAAGACTCTCCCGTCAAGTTACGTAATGGCTGCAGTTCTTTATATGGTCGGTAGCCAAGGAGAGGATATATCACAGAGCATACTTGGTCAATCTGAAATGCATCCGCTGGGGAAATCTTTTGAATCCACGCATGTGCAGTAGCAGTAGAGTTTTTGCGCACGGTGCCATAGTCTCCGATACCCTTTGTTACATTGCCCGCACTCTGAGTGGCGTTAAACAGCCACTTTTCTACTGACTTAGGAAACGGTAAGCCTAAAAACTCATATATAGCAGTAGCCGTTTCTGTAGGAAACTCGGCCAGGTCTTCGTAACGGACCTGCATGATGCGGTTGGGAAACACGTGCTCTAGACGTTGGCGCGTACTGTAATCTCGCAAAATCTCCATACATCTCATATTGGCCTCCATCTCGAGATTCCCTATCATCTCGCCCACCTTGCGGCGGGAGATTAAAGCAGCCCGTGGATCTCGCACTAAATGAATGACTTTCAATCGTGGATTCTTTTGCATCAGCGTCTCCACTTGGTTCATACGGATTCGCAACAGTTTCAGCGTCTTTAGTGATGCTGTCCTGCACGCTTCCTGCATCAACGGTAAACATGACGCCTTTCCCAGTCCCCGTTTTGATTTAAGACAGTCGAAATACTTGAAGTCATTGAGTCTCTGGTGTCTGCCAAGACCAGCTTGGAAGTCGTGGTTGTCCTTGGGTACTACGATTTCTTTACCTTTATCTGTTCTGAATATCCTGCAGTACAAAAAAGAAAGACGTTTTTAGATCATTCTTAATCAGGCTTTGTCATATGACAGTGATTGTACGAGTACGCGTCTAAGTGATACGAATATTTTTTGTAAAACTGGTGGCAGTTGGGTTCGGTTTATTGTGACAGTTTTCTACCTTTTCTAATTTTTTTATTTCTATACTTAATTTCGATATCGATGTAACGTAAAAAATTCGTCGTGACTTGAAACGCCATCATGCGTCATTTGAGGTTGAAATTTCCAAACAGCTTTGGTGGTGTAAAATAAAGTTTCTAAATAGGCTTTTCAAAATATCGCAAACATATGATAAGTTTACCGTAAAACATTGTGAAAGTATGCACTTTCGGAATTTTTTGTAGAATTTCTTTTCATTCAGTCTTTTCAGTGACCTTTAGTAGCTTTAACCTGTATAGTAATAGGCTCAGTTTCTAAGCTTTTGGAATAGTTTTTTCGCCAAAAAACTGACTAAAAATAAAAAAAAAAAAAAAAAGAAAAAGAAAAACGTTTTTTTTTTTTTTTTTTTTTTTGTGAAAAACCTATTTATCTTAAAAGAGGCTCTGAAAGATAGCGTCACAAGCCATTATGGCGTAATTATTAATGAAGATAAGGCATTGTGACTAACCATTACGGTCAGTTGATGTCATAAGACAGGATGACGTAATAATTACCGAAAGATAACGTCATAAGGCCGTGCGACGACATGACTCAGACTATATAAAGATAACGTCGTGACGCATATGACGTGATAATCACTGAAAGATAGCGTCATGTAGCCAAATGACGTAATAATTGCTGAAAGACAACGTCATTTAGCCAAGTGACGTAATAATTATTGAAAGATAACGACAGAAGTAAATGTGACTGGACACTCACTGGAAGACGATATCGTATGGCGCGGTCACATCTAATGGAATATTAAACATGCGGCAGTTCAGGAGGTCATCCACGATCTGGGTGGTCTCGTCAAACTCTATACCATGCTTTGGAGCCGGTCTGAAAACGAAGATTTTTATCTGTGATATGTTCTTGAAAGTACTGTATTTTGTGTAACCTCAACCATGTAATTGTCAGTTATGATTTGCTTAGCAACGTTTAAAATATTTCTGCTTTGGTAAATTTATTGTCTGTGGAAATTTCACCTACGACTGAGGATCTGAAATCGACTTCAGTTTTCCATCCGATTTATGAGGTAAAGTAGGTAAATTAGTTGATTGGTAAATTATTAAAAAAAAAACAGGAATAATGACAAAATACTTGTAGTAATAACTTAATTTCAGTGATGAAAATAAAAAAGTCATGCAAACCAACTAATATCAATTTTTATTTGAATTAACATATTAATGTTCAAATACTTTATATTTCACAAATTAAAGTAGCATAATATATGTTTAAATACTTCTGACAGAAAAAAGTGACGAAAACACCCACTTACTTTGTTGTGCCGTTCGGATACGTAAGGGAACCATATTTCTCCATAGATTTGTAGAATCCCCAAATTGGCTCAAAGAGGTAAAAAGCATGGTCGTTTTTGTTGAAGAGCTCTCCGGTGAAAGAACTCCCGCTCCTCTGATAGGTCAGAATTATAACCTGTCGTGCGCTTAGTTCCTCTCCGATGCCCACTAGGGGGACGAAGAGTCGGTCCACTTTTTGAGGGTCGTTTGTAACCACTGGAAGTATTGAAAAAAGTTTTTTATGTCAGGTTTTTGTAAATAGTTAATTTGAAGAAAACCAGTACGCGTTTGGAAAACAAAGGGTCATTGGAAAACACATGACTGTTTTTTCGTTAAAACGAAAGTGTAGCTGTTGAAATGTTTAGAAATATAACGATACGATTGCTTAAACCAAATTACATGTAGTATAGATTGTTTGAGAAAAGATGGTTACACATAGGGGCCTTTGATAGGTAAGAGTAGGAAGGGATGTTGCCTGTCAGCCATTAAGAATGTTAATTAATTACCCCTCCCCCCAAAAAAAAAATGTTTATTAACATCAATAATAAAGAAAAAAAGAACAAACTGCAACACCGAGGCCTTGTACACACACACGCACGCACACGCGCGCGCGCGCAGACGAAGAGAGAGAGAGAGAGCATAAGATGCAAAGAAACAAAAGTCATGGACACAAATCAATCTGTTTGCTTACGTCCCGTTTCCAGCCAGTAATAAAACAAGGAGCAGGAGAGTAATGCGTAGACGAAGACCACCTTTAGCGAGAGGAACCTCAACCCCCGTGCTAGTACCACCGGCATGTCTCTCCTCTCACGCTATCACAACACTGGGACCATCCGGTAAATAATATGCTGTCATTTTGGTTTCATCTGTAAAAGAAAGAAGAAATAGAAAACTATAAATAAATAATTTAATTAATTAAGGAAAACATATGAAAATAAATAAATAAATAAATAAATAAATAACGCATAATATAAAATACAGTATTTGTGATACATTTTATTACAGACTTGACATTTAATATGGAATATTTCAGTTTTAAAGGTATACCTAGGAAAAAATGCGTTCTTTTTTCAAAAAATTCAGATCTCATATAAGACATCTGACTGGAGAAGTGTGGAGTCAAGTGTGTCGCTGCCAATTAACTGACTACCAAGTCTGTTGCACTGTTGCCTTGTGTAATATGCACTGATTTAATTGGGCAGTGCTCCTTTGGGCTGGTCAAAGCTTGGCTATGGTGAAGCATGGTTCTGTTAAAAAAGTATCCATATGTCGGCAACTACTGTATAGAAGAATTTGAAATTTTACATGCAAGCGGTCGGTTTTGCAGTGCGTAAAATGAGTTAAGAAGTGTTTTACAAAATTGTCAAGCTGTGCCAGAATGGCACGAAAAGCACAGACATTGCCAGACAGATTATTGTGTCAAACGGAATGGTCTATACAGTTTTATAGAGTAATGCCCAGACTGATGTACCTACACAGAGACCACACCCAATGCATCGACGTCTTACCGCCAGGGTACAGGACTCACTGTCCTTCAGGATATGCTGCTGCAATTAAACCAAAACCACCAAGTCCATTTTGAATGAGGGGCAAATTGTCACCAAAACGCGTTTTTCAAGGCTCTTAGCGAACACCAAACTGGTTTCAGCAGGTTAAGATACCAGATGACCTCTGAGGAAGCCATTGTAAACAGCAAGGTTGCGTAGTCTGTTTCTCTAATGAATTGGGGGCCATGACCGTTTCTGGGTAGAACACTGAAACCGCGTGGCATTCTTTATTGGGGTCAGATTTCACCTGTACCGCTAAACTGGTCTAAACAGAGTTTACAGACATCCTGAAGAGGCCTACGACGAAGCGTGTGCCACTTCTTAAGTGACTAAGGTCATTGACAGTGTCAGTATTTGGAGTGGAAACCACATTGGTGCCAAAACACCAATGGTAGTCATCGATGAAAACCTGAACCAGATCATATAAAGGAATAATCTGGGAACCACTTGACTTTCATTTGATAGGGGGCACCTTAGGAACAATTTAAGGTTGCACGATGAGATTGCCGGTTCACACAGAGCACTTTTAATAGCAGATAACTTACAGAACCAAGGGAATGAGTAGCTACCTTGGTCATCTAAATCGCCATAATTGAACCACATAGACAATATGTCGGTAGGTCATTACTCCCCGAATCAACAGCCTGCATGTCCTACAACAAAACTGAGCCAAATTGGACAAGTTTTAACGGTTGCCTGGAATTTTATTTCAGATTAATCTCTAAAAATCTATCATAAGGAATACCTTGCGGCTTGAAACCTCTGGTAGCAGCAAGATGAGGTCAAGCGTAACAGCGACTGTTGCTTTGACTAGACACTGACATGGGGGGCCTTTGTGGGACATGTAATTCTTTTAAAGACAATAATTAGGAAAATATGGAGATCCAAAATATCGCTATCAATGGTTGTCGTATGACTTAAAATAGGCAATGTATTTTTGTATGTTTCACTGGCGAATTCAGTTAATGAACTGATGTCACACTGACATCGAATAGATTATCAAAAGTTATGAAAACATGATTTTAATCCTTATTTTCATTTATCAGTCAGCAAAGTAGGAAAAAAACTGATAAATTATGATTTGGAAAAAATATTCCATATTAAATGTCAAGCCTGTATTTCGATATCGGTGCTATAAGTCTGTAGCTCTGACTTCGCGTGTCTCTCTGTGTCATAGAAGAGAATTTTGCTGCTGGGTAATTATAATAATAATAAAGAACACGTAACTGTAATAGGCAGGCCAGGAGCGGATTTAGGCCGTCTTCTGGGTCTTCAGTTTACATTAACGGGTATGTAATTTTTTCTGCTGGAAGACGGTCAAAAATGAGCATGGGTCAACAAAGATCATTTGGAAGACTGTCAGAAAATATCTCTGGAAAANATTTTGCTCAGGCTACGGCCCTGGGATTTGTATCCATCCATTTGACAGTATAGTGTCTGTTGGCTTTAGGATTTAACCCGTATCATCACTACATTGAACAATGGAATACAAGTTGTGGTTTGACAGAAAACATGGGAGAAAATGACGAATAATCCCCCCCTCAACTGTTTCTAACCACTCACATGGAAATTTCCTACCATATCCTACGTCCTATACAGGGAAATTGGCTAAAAATCTTATAGGGTGCTGTATAACGTTTCATTCATGTATAGGGAAATTGGCTCAATATCTAATAGAATCCTTAAGGACATATGTTCTAGACAGGAATCCAATAGGACGTCCGACGGAATCCCAACATGCATTAAGTCTCATAGAGTCCTGTAAGATTCCTATCAAGTCCCATAAGATCCCGCAGAACATCTATAGGGAATGTGTATCATCTGTGTCAGGGGTGGCTCCCATTTGTTAACGTATAATATGAATGTCATATAATGTATGGCTTATACGGAGGTACAAGCTTCTGGTACGAACTTGTGTTTTGATTGTACTAGGACTCAGCTACTACTCGAATCCCCAGGGAAATCGCTAAAAACGTGCGCTGTGGTATATTTATGGCATAACAAACATGATGTAGGTCGTCACCGTCTCCACCATCTTGTTTATCAATAGGCACAGCATATTTACGCCATAAGGTGTTAAAAAATTGAAATTTGAGAACACGCTAGATGTGTTCACAATGGTTGCTTGTTGGGTCGTCTTTTATGTGGGCCTTACTCTCCGTTATTGTGTTAAAGACATACCGAACATGGACACTATGCCACATCGTGGTCGCTGCATTTTTAAACTCCAGTGGACAATTAAAAGTGCATACCTATAGACGATTAATTGTCATGTATTCTTACCTTCATAAACTTAAACATACTGAGCGGGAGTGCCACAAGTGTCACACGCCCAAAAATTAAACAGTGGTTAACAGCCGGATTTCACTCACCTTAACTGCATCCCTTGTTCCACCTCCTCACATCAGCAGGTAACGACTACAACTATAAACCTCAACCTGTAAGAGCCATCGCCTATAACTTCAATCCCGAGACTTAAATCACATACGTGTCCTTTATGCAAACCAGGTACATATACTAGTGTATTGACCGGTCACAGGGGTAACGCATTACGAAGTCGAAGTCAATTGTTTGAGTTGTTTGGACAAATGCATTAGACGTGCTATATTCTATATACTAGAGCCAGCTCTGAGTGACGGGGACATGAATAGGCGCAGGTATGAAGCGGTGTCCCATATTCTGTTACCTACACCTTCGTTCAGATGCAGACACACCGGGTCTAACTTACAACCCGGTTTTAATCCGTTTGGCAGATTTAACGAGTCACGAATGAGACGAACGGGTTAAATGGCAATTCCCATAAAAGAATAAATTGATCGAGCTTTATGTTAAGACTGATGTGAACGGGACTGTATAAATTAACCTGTTCAGGCCTGAATGACGTCACCAGGGGAAGCAGATTTATCTTTGCCCCCTCCCTCCCCTTTTTAATAATCTGGATTAGGCCCTATATTTTTTCCTCTTCGTTGTATTTTAAACTACTTCTAAATGGGTTGCTGGCGCTACGCAAATTAGTATGAGTGAAAGCAAAATACGGCTTTGAAGTCACGCTTTGGAGCCGTCACCTGTTTATACATAAGGTACAATGGGGATATGCGGAGTTTATATTACGTTTTGAAGATCAAACTTTGCCCTTTACTTTTCTTCAGCGAACAAACAGCGTAAATTGTTGTTGTGTTTTAAATTTGTGTTTTTTAAAACCATTCTTTATATTATTATCATAATTCCGAAATGTTGAAGCATGCTTTTGAAACTCTAGCAAAGGCGGTTAGTGGGTAGAGAGTAATAAGACGACCTTAAAATTTTAAATGAGAACCCCAAAATTCAGATTTCCGTATACGTCCCCTTAAAAATTGGACTGGCTTTATAGTGCTTCTGAACATTGAGTCAACAGTACACCATTGTGATGCAGCTTATATCATCCATTGAGTAAACTGACTCGGCTTTTGGCAAGTAAATTATGGGTTAGCTAGTGGTGACATCTGGCGGTTACATAGAAGCGCGATAATTTCGAAACCTGTATCCATATGTCATTCAACTATGACAGCATAATTTAGTAGTGTCTGTTGATATCAGTAATTCCTAAATGATTGGCGAGTTTTGATGTCAAATTAAAGTTTCACTGTCATGCTTCAGTTATTTGATATTTAAAAACAACTGAAAATCTATTAGTTAAAAAAATGTAATAAAGAAAGTGAAATTTGAGGTACGGAGGTTTTTAATGGCAGGTGATTGTAATAAAAGGCATAAGTGCATGGGAAGGTGTTTGGGTGAAGGCCGTCGAATAAATTAATGAAAAGGGAATATTTTTTTTAAGAAAAGTATTGAAAACGCGAAAAAAAAACCTTTCACTGGATTATCTCACGCCAATGAATTGCCCTCAATGCCGCTGAAGCCTTACTTTATGAAGCGATCGGACAACTGGCAGTATCTAGACTAGATAGTGTCCAGACTAAGGGTGATTTCAATATCTCTTTCTTCCCACTGGATAAAAGCGAGCGGGAGTGGGGGGAATGGGAGGAGGGTTATAGATGATATAATGTGTATAAGAGAAAAGCTGAAAAAAAGGAATACTTCCTTTTTATAATTCTAGGTATAGAAGATATATAGGCCATAATTAAATAACTATAAACATGCACAATTTAAGCACACTTTCGAAAAAGAAAAGATGAGGCATTGAATGTTTAAATCTAACGATAACAGAGATAGTTAAGATCTACACTGAAAATCAATAAAACCGCCAGACAACCCCGTGACCCTTTTTCGATAACCCAACATGTATATCTCCAATACCTACATGTACCCAATATAAACGTGTAATATCTGTGACCAGACACTTCGCTGAAGTTACACCGAGCCTTCAACATGGCTATCTCTAATTTCTTCGTGTTCGTCTTGGCGCTTACCGGCGCAGCCCTAGGCGCCGTGACTCCGCCTCAGCCGAAGAACCCCGCCACAGTGCCGATTCCGGTCGACGGCGGAAACGGCGTCGATGTTCCCAAGGACTCCTGCTCGTGCAAAGCTACCACCGCCAACCTCTCCGCGGTTGTGACCACCCAGAGCCAGCAGATCCAGAGGCTGTTGACAGAGAATGAAATCGCCCTCGGAGACGCCGCCTCGATGAAGACTCAGATTGATCAGCTGGTACGCACGGTGGATGTCCTCAAGACGTCTTTGCAGGTATTAAATTTTTTTTTATTTTTTTTTTTTTCAAATTAATAAATAAGTTTATTTTTAATTAAATATTGCCAAAACGTGGCATTGTTTTGATTCAGTGACCATTTAGGAAAAATGATGAAAGAAATTGCAATGTACGCATGCCAGTCTAGTAAAAAGGAAAACTATCTAACTTAATCAACTACAGCCAGGGGGAATGCTACGCACAACATATCTTTTATATGTAATTTATGTGATTGCTTAAAGTAAGAAAAAAATGTGCATATGAATTTCAGGTACAAGTAGCTGAAGTCTCTGCGTTGAAGCAAGGAACTCTGAAACCGCAGGTGCAGAAGTTCACAGGTTTGTTTTCTGTCTAAAGACCAGCTCATACTAGAAGCAGACTAGCTTATTAATATTGTTCGTTATTGCATCTACACATCTGAGAATAATTTAATGTCATCGCCTGTTTGGAAGACATACATGTACGCCTTTGTTCTTGACGGCGACTATCTCGCAGCTCTACAACCTTTTTCCTTATTTTAATTTTTTTTTCAATATTTTTAGACGTTTGACGAAGGTCTTTCCATCATATTTTCCGTGCATTTTTGAAATCGATGGCATTTTTTCGCCACCGAAAGTAGATTTCAAAAGAAAGAAAACTGCAAACTTTATATGAATCAGTAGTAATATCTGAATTATCACTTGATAAAAGATAAAGCTGGCGAATTATTTGTGTAAAGCGAACGCTAGTTTTACAATACTCCTTTCTATGCTACGTTCTTCTAGACAAAGTAAAACCATTTTTTTTCTCTATCAAGTCGTCCATTTTTTTATCATTTCAGCCTGCCCCGCCAATTTCAAATCCTCTCCAGAACTCCGCTCTTGTTTCCTCCGTGTTTGGATCAGTCTTAACTGGTTCGACGCCCGGAAATACTGTGAAGTTCGCGGCGGTCAACTTCTGTCGGTGGATTCTGCCGCCAAGTTGGACATCTTAAAGAACAAGGTGTTTCAGAACGGTGAGATGTTTTTAATATTGCCCATACAAAAGGATATTTTTTATTTTGTTTAAGATCTTAATCATTTCGTCAGTTTTAAATGCACCGATGAAATTAGAGAAACACACGTGACGACAAATTTCAGTTTAAAGCGACTTCTTGAAATCGGTCCTGGTCGATATTACTGGAACATACCAGTCACTCGATTTTGGGATATGATGAAGGGTTTTTATTTTCATCGACATGGTTATTTTAATTTATTTGAAACTTAGACGACGTGTGGAACATAGATTATATTGCACCCTGGGTTTTAGAGTTTAGAGAACTCTCTTGTACAACAAACAGTATCAAGCAGTTCCGAATGTTTTTTATACATGTATAATGCCTACGATGACTGAAAAACATTGCTATTGTTATTAAACTCAGGATGAAATATGAAGAAAAGACTGATAAGTAGGGCCTACCAGTAGAATTAAAATGAATTAAGAGAAGTATTGTGACCCTTTCAAATTTATGGAAATAAACAGTCTTAACTATTTATTTATTTATTTATTTATTTATTATAATATTCTTTTATTTGTAAAGAAAATCTGGGAGACAGCTGGGCAAGCGGTTACCTGGATGAAGCGACGGGGAAATGGAGGTGGGTTTACACGGGGAAAGAGTTCACATTTTCCAACTGGGATCGCGGGGAACCAAACGCCAAACTGAACCGTGAACCGTGCCTGCAGCTCTTTAGATCCTTTGCCTTCAACGACAAAAACTGCCAGGACGGAAACGGCTTCGTCTGTGAGTTCAGCTACGCGTGATTTTGATCTCCATGGCAACGCTCGCGTGGTGTCTTTCCAGGCATGCGCGGAATGGATATATATATATATATATATATATATTTGGCGCATGACTGTTAAGTATGATTGACCATATATTGGACGGATAGTAGGATTAAATATGTCTATATATTGGACATATTCAAAATTACTTGATTGTTATTGGCTTTAATAGACTTAATCTTTGAAAGAATTAATTTTTGTTGCACCAGAACGAAAACGATGAAGGAAATATGGGTGCTTTCCCAGAGATTTAGATCGATCTAGAGATTAAGATTTAGATCGACCTAACTCCCTGGGGGTTCACGCTAAATTGCAGTCAGCCGAGCGGGCACCATAGTTAATTACTCCCTTACAGCTTTTAGTAGGCGGGACAGACGCTTAAGCCGGCCAAGCTGACAGTAATCTAGTGAGACTCCCCACAGGGATAGATCGATCTAAAAATCTATGGAAATGGGGTGTAAGTCTATGCATGTTTCGAGACATTTTTATATTATCTTTCAATAGCCAATAAAAGTTATTCCTAGGCCTTGCACGAAAAATCTTCCCTTGTTTAAAAAGGTACAGATAATTAAAACTTCAAGAAATAATTTTGCGATGTGTTTTTGTCTTCAAATGTATATTTGTGAAAATAGTTTTTTTTTGTGGTCTTATTTAAGGGCGTTTATTTTAAGTTGCCTTGTGGGATAACTACCTGTTCCCACTACCAGGACCTAAGATTGATTTTTCGCTAGATATATTCACCGGCGTGTCTGGATCATTTGTTACATTTTTCTCTTCTGTGATCAGCATGTGCTTTTGAATGGGATTAATGCCATAACTCAGATGAACTCTAGTATAGAGCAAAGAGTTACATGTATAACAGAGTTCTGTTATAACTCCTTGTATACAGTAAGGAATATGAAGCTTAATAAAACCTGCACCCCACGGAAATGACCTCGGTTTGCAAAAATGTTTTAGGATAAAGAATAAATCTGCTGTGTTTGGCTATTTTAAGATAAATAATAAATCTGCTATACTTGGCTAAACTGCATGTGAAGTTCCCGTTGCGGACACAAAGAAACAAGTCTTCGTCTTTGGAATATCATGACAACATCAATACCGGCAGATAACAGAGTCTGTGTACTTCATGTATCTGGCCAGGGTATCATACGTCCTGTTTACAGTGTGGTCAGTGGTATCAGAAGAGTGACCACCGCGTAGACGAGGGACAGAGGCCTCTTGTGTGATGAAAGTGGTCAAAGACTCCGCTGCCTGTATGTCCGAGTCAACAACGAAATGTCAACATAACATTCCCAGGGTCTCGTTTTAACATGGAACTTTAGTCTAAAAATTGGTCCAAACCTTTAGCTCAAACTTTTAGTCAATTTTGATCCAAAATATGGTAGTCTACTAGTTAAATAAAATATTGCGTTTTTTTAACGAGGGAGGAATTGGCACTGTTTTAGTCAGTTGATGAATGTTTTCTTTTTCTATTTTTTGGTTAAGTTCTGCTAGAGACATACATGTACGACCTGAAGTGAAATAGACAAAAAATTTGATTTAAAAATTATGACCGATTTTCTGCCCTAAGTTTGCTTGTGAAACCTGTCCCCACAAGAGCTCCAGTCCTGATTATTGATGACAATTTCGATAACTGTGAGGGAATTGACTTTGTCCGAGCGATAAAGGAACGCACATATCGATCTCGAGATTTGAAAATGCAAAAGCTGGCATGCATCCGATCTCCATCTTTCACACACACACACACACACACACACACACACACACACGTTTTGGTTTGTAAGTTAAGATTGAACTCCTTCGTTTTTCGGATCATTTCACAAAAAAAGTGACTCCTAGTCATGTCTGCAACGCTCATTTTTTTGTGTTATATTTACTTAATTTATGTTATTTTAGTAAAAAAATTAAGAATCACGTTTTTAGAAAAGTGTTATCAAATAATTATGCAAATATTACACAAAATGAATCGCTTTTTGTGGAATATCCACTGCTTTTTTTCTTTTCTGGTTAAACAGGATTTACTGTCCAACGAGAGCGCTTAAATGCGATAGTAGTGAACGGTCGCAGCAGTCGCAATGCAAATTGTAATACTCACTTGTCTCACAGCCTGTCGTTCTAACCTCTTAATCTTAGAGCGCAGTTTAAATATCATTAAGGTGATAAGGATAACGATGGAGATATAGCGAAAGACCAGAATCCCGTAACGAAAAACCATAAGTAAGGGCACGATGACCTTTGAGTTGATACATTGGCAGGTGCACATTTTACGTATTCAAGACAGAATGCAGTGGCGTATGCAGCTGGTTAAAATAATTAAAAAACCAACGCTGTGTCTTTTATTTGCCGGCGCACCTTGTGGGCAAACGACTCCGCCGCGTGCGTAAAAGAGGTCAACAAAACTGAGACCTGCAGTAATGTACAGTTGATTGACAAAAAATCCACATGACAAATAAATAGAAAAAATAAGTAAATAAAACATTATAAGCAATGCTGCCTTAACCTTTTGTTGTGAAAATTTTCTAATCTGAGCATCCAAAAGAAGTCGCTACAATCAGTGCAAAATTATTATAATTTACCATTAAAAGGAAATGTGGCGGTTGTGGCGGTTGGTTAAAAGATTTAAAAAAACAACATTTGCTTCCTCTAGAAGTTTAAGTCCACATTTGATTAGAAGAATTTTTAAAATCTCATCAGCATGGTGAGTAGTAACGTTCATTATCTTTTCGGTTTAGGACCCCATCCTTTTCATATTCATATAATTGCTTCTGCTATTAAAATGATTGTTTTGATACATTCAGTTCTTTTAAACAGAGATAAAGATGGAATTGAAATTGATTTTCATGCCGGTGTAACCTGGGTTGGTTAATACTTTTTATCGAACCGCGGCTCGAAAAATGAAGAACAACTCCAATCGTAGATCATGTAGCTTTTTATTTTTCCCACACGGGCTACAGGTTGGCACGCAGGCAGGGACAGTCACGACGATCTCTCGGGGTCCTTCTTCACTAACTGAGAAGCCCTCTTTTTATAGAGAATCATTCGAAATCCTGCGTGCCCAATAACTATTACTAAATGTGTGTAATTTATAGAAATGATAAAGGAACTAAATGTAACACATGTGATTAATAGGAAGTATGATAAAACTAAATGCAGGGACTGTATTCAGGCCCGTAACCAGCGATTTCAAAAGGGGGTTCTTTTTCTGAAAAAGTGGACCTTTTACAATCAAATTTATGGGTACCTAGATCAAATTTTATCCAAAATGGACCTTTCCTTACAAAAGGGGCGGTTCTTTCGACCCCCCCCCCACCCGANTCTTTCGACCCCCCCCCACCCGACCCCCCCTGGCTACGGGCCTGCTATTACTTTTTATAGTAGCCCTGAACACGGATATGTTCTCCGGGTAGGAAGGTTACATAACGCTCGGACCTGAAACTGAAACTGAAACTGGCTCATACGAAATTATCTCAGGCGTGGCAACTGGTTTTGGTGGAAGCGATCAAAAGAGTCGGGATGATATAATGAGGCAAAAATACCTCAAAAAATTTTGGACCGTCACAGTGTCTCACTTTTCTGTCGATTCCAAAAGATGCACATTTGTTATTTAAATTTATTACACCTCGAAGACTTTTGTTTTATTTCTAAATTCGGTTTCCCTTTTTGTAATTGTGAATATGACTTAAAAGCAGAGACAAATTGTATAACACTGCCGTGTTATGCAGGATCTTAAGTTTTAAAACGTAATTTCTGGTAGTCATATAAGGTGACACCGGATTTCTGAGAACTCTACCTCGGTTCACCTTAAACAGGACTTGTGATAAGTTCGATGTATTGTGAAGTCAGAACAGTCCGTTTCAATTTTTCTTTATCATATCTGGTGTATTGGCAGAGAGGCGTGTTAATAGTGTCATTTGAAACTCGAGGTGGGGTGTAGTAGTCTTGAAAAGGGGTCTTGAGTTTAATTAATTGATTGATTAATGATTTAATAAATTAATTAAATAATAACACGTGTTTCCCATAGATATAGCCCTATCGCTCTGATTAAAGCGACCAGGCAGGACTAATTTTTAAGAGAGAGAGATTATTTCTAACATTTATTCAGTATTAGGCCCTACAGGTCTGCAGCCCTCACTATCATTGCCTATACTTAGAGTACAAAATATGAGTTAAAGCGAACATTATGATGTCTTATAATAACAATAAACAGAAATTAGCTTAACCTATATTTAAGTGGAAATAAACAGCCGTGAACTATATACAGTTGAATATTTATAGATTATTCTATAATCAAAACTAATAATCAAATTCATACCAGCTTTTCCTCTATACCATTTAATAGAGGTAAACCAAAATAATTCATAGCGGAGCAAAGTATGTCGGTCCTTTTGAGCGTGTTGAAATAACATTCAGTAGTATTGTGCCTTTGATTCACCCATTCCCCGTGTCAACAAACGACCCGTACACGCGCGTAAATAAGGTCAACAATCACGTCCCTCATTATGACAACAACAAATGATATATTTGATAACTATTCACAAATGATGGAGGCGAGTTTTATATCATTTAATAAAACAACAACAGCAGCAAAAAAGAACAATAACAAACAGACTAAATTTGCAATCAAGTAGCCTATTTATTGTATTGGTTAAGTGTATCACATTATGACGAAATTCGTGGAAATCGAAGGTGTCAAGAAACGCGAGAGCGAGTCACCCGTAAATCGCTTTGTTTGTCGCGTCATAATAATTTTGTTGCTAGGTAACGCACTTGGAATGGAGACGACAACAGGAAATGGAAAAGTGTCAGGTAAGCGTACTTAAAATAAGAATTAGAGTTGTGTGATCGTATTTCTCGTATAGAACTGTGCTGCCATTGGGCAGGTAGGCCTATGTTGCAACTTCCTGGCGCCTTCATTAAGAATTAATCTTATATTGATAATTAATAAGTTAAATAGCCGAATAAAGATTTCAGCTAAACATAATCACTTTTAGCCGATATTATAGGCATATCTTGTAAAGCACATGACTAATATAGCAACGATTCATTACGTATATATTAAACAAAACATCCCATCGCTCAAGTCAATTTATATACGATATATTTTTTTATGTATTCTAATAATAATTTGATCGCCCGCATTTTCTATATGTGTCGAGAGTGAACAGTAGCCTAAGCCACAGTAGGTCACCCAAGAACTTTCTGGACTGGATGTTATTATAACGGTCGAAACCGCAGCTCGATTGTCATTTAAATCACAACAGGCAGAAACGACCCTCATTCCTTTTCGCGCCAGAATCATAAGCCAACATCCTCTCAACTGCTGCCTTCAAGGTAGTGGGTCAACGTACGCGCTTTACAAAAGGAAAACTAATGTCTGTGTTCATATTTGACTAGGGTCACGAATACTGGCAATAATCGAGTTGAACTTTTATAAATGATTAAAGCATAATTGTCTTTCTCTCGAAACAGATTACATAAGTTGGCATACGGCGCCTTAAAATAAACGATCGATTTATTCGCCCACGTCATACGGTAAATTCATTTATTATGAAAATGATCCAAGCACGTTGAAAGTTTGCGCATGACAGGAAGCTCATATTTTAGCGCGAGCATTTTCCCGGCAAGAAGCAAGCCTAAGAATTCCTGTGAAATTTCAGGTAAGATACGATAGTACAGATCAAGTTTTCACCTGTTCGAACCATATATGATACTTTTGTATGATATCGTAAAGATAAATCGCCATGTTTCAGTAATGAATGAAGAGAAATAAAGGTTAGAATTAAGGGAATCCCATGTGGTCGTTACGATCCGCCGCGAACCGGATTCTCGGAAAATATACGGAATAGGTTTAACTATCTGTCTTAAAGTCACGATCATACCGTAGGATTAATTCATCTACTTAATTTAAAAAAAGGCATAGGGGTGTCAATGCAATAATTGTAGGACGTTTCTTTGTTGACCTTCCATAAAACGCCGGTTAATCGTTCCCGTACGTGTTTAAAAACATCGCACGATTTCATTGATCATAAGTGAAATGCATGCGTGGTTGACCTAGATAAAAGAAATACGGAGCAAAATCATTTATTTGTTGAATGGCAGGATTTAAGATAAAAGACAGCCAAGTGTTATCGGGTTTAAATCTTGGGTATTATGTGTGCGCATTTTATCAAAGGAGTGCCACAGTTAAGAGTAATTGGGGAAAACACCATGAGTGACGTGAGTGACACACCCCCACACAAAGAAAACGTGGACTCCACGTGGTCGCAAGGGTGAATCTAAAAATAAACTGGAATACCCTTTTCTGCCTTTATATAAAGAGTGGGACTAAATTCGCCTTTTGTCATTGACAAATCGGTCTTATCAGAGTACATGAAGTCATTGAAGAGCGTTTGGAAAGACTGTACTTTACAGTGACACAGATTTATTCCTTGGACAGCTGTTGAAACATAACAGGTAAAACGTTCAGTCAATGCATGATTTAATATATTGAAATAGGGTATATATTATATAATATTATTATAGCTGACCATTATGTTATGATAATATCCACTGAATCTTAGTTATTCATTTCATGTCATTTTTTTATTAACATTTAATGAATGTTTCTTTTCATTGCATTTATATGGCTTTTATGTATTTTTTTATTAAAATGAGTTTAGGTTTTGCTATGAATTTTTGAATATTAGACTGTTTGTGTACATGTACATCTTACGAGTATCTGTTTGTTGAAGAAGTGGGTGTGTGAGATATGGAGAGAGAGAGAGAGAGAGAGTGAAAGAGAGAAAGAGCTTCTTGAATATGCTCTTATAACCTTATACAAAATAATTAATTAGATGCATAATTTAAACACAGTTGGCTCTTTTAAGAGGTGATATTAGGCAGCTTTTTTTTCCAATAAAGCATAAAAAAATTCAGACAGACGGCTACACGAGACCTCTTGAATATTCATCGGCAGCTGGTTCGTCTGGGGCGTCCATTTTTAGAAATAAATCACGATTTGGTCCTTTAGGGTCACATGCTCTATTCATGGACATAGAGTGCTAGAATTTAACTTGAATCTCAAATGGGCAAAAAAAGTCGGTTAATGTAAAGATCCACTTTACCGTTTTAGGGTCCAATTATTGACCAACGAGAAAGAAAGATAAGGGTGAATTTTGTTTTAGCTTGTTTAGATTTTTGTTTTACTTCAAGGGAGGATCATGGCCTGTAGAGATCAATATTTGGCAAAGTGCTGATATTTTAAAATCCTTTTAGTGGTATACTTTTACTATTGGCAGGGTAAAGGCTATTTCACTAGTCTTAATTTCTCTCAATAGGCCACTAACAGTATTTTTTCCACTAGTTTTCATACCACTTTCTAATGGCCTGTCTGGGTAATTTTTGAAGTAATTCACTTTTCTCAAAATCAGTGCATAGTGAAAATAATATTTTAAAAAATCAAATATTTTCCACAATACACAGTTAGATCAAATTACCAACTGTGTAAAACAAATCAGTTTACTACATGTACTTGTACCAGTACATATATCTGGTATGTGTGCAGAAGGCATGATTCAAATCTCTCCCATTGCTCATCATTATTGATCATACTGGCGATGTTTTGAACATTTGTCTAATGCTGGTACTCCTTTTTCCCCCTTTTTTTGTCAGTTTGATTACATTTTCATATTCCATATTTTTAACTTTGTGAGACTAAATAAAATTGCCCAGCTAATACAAAATATACAACAAGCAACATTAACCCAATATTACATGACAAGTTTAAATTGTTTTTATCAGTTTAATCCCTCATTTAGTCTAGGATTTTGTTTTTCCTACATACATGGCTTGGGTTTTCTTTGAAGGTCATTTGAAGGCAAAGACATTTGATGTGAAAGTCATAGGTGATAGTTCATAGAGATATCGGTATTTGTGGTTACAACAGTTATGTACTGGTTTAGCCTCTATTTAAAATTGCTGGCTACAGGGCTACTAAAGGTTTCTTAATGCTTTTTCCTTCCTTTTCTCTCTCTCTCTCTTTTGACTAACTTTTGCTGCTTAACACCAGTTTGTTTTTATGCTGAAATTCTTTACGAATACCAAAGGGCAAATATAGATTGAATTATAACAAATAGCTTGCTTATTTCTTCATCATGTGTTATTGATTTTGAAACAGTTATCAGATTTGTCAGTATTTCACCATAGTTATGCTCTTTAGACTTTCAGCTACCTCAGTTGACTTTCAAGGTTACGTCAGGTACAGATGGGTTGTTTACGAACCAAACCAATTTATCTAATAATTACCTGACAACCAACTGCCATTTGCATTATAGATGTACATGCTGTATATTGTGTGTGATTTCATAACATTTATATTTTAAAGGCCTCCATTTTTCTCAAGCATGAAACATATAAACATGCATTTTTTTTCTGTGAAATTTCAAATTAAGTAACAAGTTTGCTACTGCGACATGAGATACTCAGAATCATGATCAGCTTTTGAAGGAGATCTATTTTTTTTTGGCTGGGAAGTATGCTTTTTAAAAATAATTATAACTATATAGTTAAAATTTATATATCATTGAAGATGAAATAATATAATTGTCCCATTCAATGGTTCTCAATCTACATGTATGTAATACTAATTATCAGGAAAATCCTCCCCCCCCCAACACAATTAGAATATATGTATGTACATTAATATTTTTTAAAAAGGTGATAATGCATTTCCAGAATACAGAGTATCAGTATCACCAAACAAATTATTTTATCCCAATTTCATTTTTATAAAGCACAAGAACACAAAATGTTAGAAATAGAATTACAGAAAATTTGATTAAAAATCTGATCAAAGAATATCTCCAGGTTAATGCAGGGTAAACTAATCATCTCACTCATCAGTATAACCCTTTGATGAATTAACTGTCATTTATTTATCCTCTGATACTAGGGGAGGTGAGATAATCAACATATATTGTAGTGTCGTGACCAGGCGTCAGAGTGTTTGTTATATATGTAATGCATATTATCAGGGGCGGATTTAGGGACGTCTTCTGGGTCTTCCGGAAGACGGTCAGATTTTCAAGTTTATATTGGCGGGTATCTAATTTTTTCTGTCGGAAGACGGTCAAAAATGAACAATGGATCAACAAAGATAATTTGGAAGACTGTCAGAAAATATCTCTGAATCCGCCCCTGATTATTGCACTCTTTGTAAAGTCTACTGAACATATGGAATTTAAAGTGAAATGTATCATCATTATTATTATTTTATTATTAATTGTACAGTACCCAGTGTTTTTAAAGTCTGATAAAGGCAGCCCATTCCCTGTGTCCTGTTTTGAAACGCTGATCACAAGTGATAAAGACTTAACAAGAGATCTGAGCCCAAGCCAGGAAGTTTTGCCAAATCCTTGAGAAATTTGAGAGCTCTCTCTCTTTGCCCTGCGTGGGTCTACATTGACATATAATATCATGTAATTTAATTCTCTCCCACTAAAGGAATTCAGAACATATAACCATTTTTTGTCTGTTTTCCATTGAATTGTGTCCTTGATATTGTTAAGGGGCCAAGATCTTGATTTTAGTAAAGCTTATCATGAACATTGATGATGATGAGGGCACGCAATAGAGATAGTGTTCCAATTTAAAATTAGTGATTCTTATTGATGATACTTTTCATGGTTCCAAGGAATTGTATTTTCTAATGATTCTAGTGATAATTATCACCTACTTATCAGAGAAATGTAGGTCTGTTTCATGTAAATTTCTGTTCCACAATAAGTGATTACTAGTAATAATTCTAGAATCGTTAGTAGTTAATTGATTATCATTAAAAATCTCATCTAAACCATTGATTGGGTTTAGAAAATTTCGGTGTAAACAAGTTATTGGTAAAGCAACCACAGTGTTTACCTCACATATTGCATGTTTTTTTATTGATTGGGTGATGTCAGCTTTAGAAAGGGGTTTTATTTTCTGGCCTGGGCAGTAAAAACTGGATCATTCTAGTTTCAGGGTGAAGGGTTATTTTTCCTTAAGAGGTGTAATGTTAAGAGTTCACAAGCACTTGATTAAAAAAAGACTTGAAAAGAAAGAAGGAAGAAAAAACATAAAAGGTATTCTATCAGGGATTTTCCTATTGAATGAAATTTTACTCCAACAGATATTTAACAATATTGTGGCTTGTATATTTTAGATGGGGGAAATACATGTTCAGATAACAGAGACCTTAAATGTGGATGAGCAATAAATAAATAAATAAATAGAAATAGAAAAAAAAGAAAGTGAGAGAAAGAAAAAAGAGAGCATCTATCTGACCTTATAGAGATAATCAATACCCCCCCCCCCCCCCCCCCC